CCGAATCGACTTTGAGAAACGGTCGAGGCATAATCTTATTTTTAACTCGTGGAGAGTGGCCCAATGGGTCCCAAGTCACCTTGCTCTGTGTTTGGTCCTTTTGGTGACAATCTGTAGGCTTTTTAATTATTTTATTTTTATTTTTTGTTGCCAAGAACAAGCCCGTTCAGCCACACAGGACTAACACCATTTTGGGATGAAAAGAAGGGGACGATGCGAAACCGTAAAGGCTGTCGGCTCTGCTCTTGGCTGCGGCTGAAGAGACGTTGGCGCCCTCCGAAAAGAATGGCGGAGTGTATTGACACGCACCGCGGACAAAGTGTACTTATTTACATATGATTCAGGCGTCCCCTCGGTGAAACTGGACCATCGTCATTTCAGAGTCGCTTTCCAAGATTGACACTCTCCTCGCTTCTGCTCGCGTCCAGCGCCTACCTCGCCCACCGCACACGCCGCCCGCCATGACCATCGAGGGCAAACCGCCGCCGGCGCGTCCCATGCAGATGGCGACGGCTACGGCTGCCGACAGCACAAAGACGGTCGCACAGCAGCCGGTAGGTTCTCTTGTGCACTCGTACCTCATACACGTTGCGTACGAATCGCGTCTTGACTGACTGTGACTGACCCGCGACGGCAGGCCATCGAACCGCGCCCCGCGGCGACAATCGACGCGTCGCAGGCCAGCCTGCGCGGCGGCAATCTGAGTCTGGGGTGCCACTGCTGCCACGGCAGCTGTTCGTTTTACAAGTCGTGCTGTTGAGGGTGGAGAGAGGGTGGAGAGGCCACAGGCGCGACGGTCTGCATGCACAAGGAAGAGCCGACATGGAGCGTTTGATTTCAGTTCATGATATTCATGTATTTTATCCCATGCAAATCCACTATATACCTCGGTCGCATGCTCGTACTTCACACCCCCCTTGCCATACTGTCCATTTCTCGTGAGCCGCGCTGGTCGGCATCGTCGGCCGTGTCGTCGCCGTGCACCATGCTATAGCCGGCCATGTTGCGGGCGCCGCCACGGCTGCCGTCGTGCCCGCCACCGCCGAGTTCCTTGGGCACCGGGGCCGTGGCAAACTGCCGCGTGGGCGTCTGCTGGGCAAACAGCCAGTCGAGCGCGGCGTAGGAGCGGCCCTTGGTCTCGGGCAGACGCAGCCAGGCCCAGAGCCCGACGGCCGACGCCAGCAGGGCCCAGACGAGGCCGACGGTGCCCTTGAGGTTGAGGGCGCCGGGGTTCAGCAGGTAGGGCTGGGCGACGTTGGCGGCGATGGAGGCGGCGTAGTAGGCGTCGCGGGCGAGGCAGACGGTGCGCTGGCGCAGGCGGGTGGAGCCGACCTCGGCGGGCACGGCCCAGCCGAGCTGGCCGACGGACAGCTGGAACACAAAGGTCCAGGCGAGCGTCAGGGCGGCCTGGACGAGGCCGACGGCGACGATGGTGCGTCGGCGGTCCAGCAGCCCCAGCACGCCGACGGCCGCCAGGAGGCAGGCCATGGCGGCCATGCCGCCCAGGAAGATGGTGCGGCGGCCGTAGCGCGGCATGAGGACGAACCAGTTGCCGAGGGTGCCGACGAGCGCGAGACACGTGCCGCCCGTGTTGAGCAGGTACGTGGTGTGCGTGGGCAGGCCGACCTGCTGGAAGAAGTAGGTCGAGTTGTACGCAAAGGGCGCGCCGGCCAGGACCTGCGCGGCAAAGGCCATGCAGGCGATTTCCGTGCGGCGGCGCTCGGTGCCGCGGAAGCAGTCGGCATACGTCGTCTCGGCGGGGCCCATGGCGGCCTTTTCCATGGCGTTGGTCCGCTCGATGGTGGCCAGCGTGGCGTCAATGTCGGCGCCAGGGACGGACGCCGATGCCGACGCGGACGACGCCTGCAGGCGCGCCAGGGCCTTGCGCGCCGCCGACCGCCGGCCCGTGCGCACGAGGTGCCACGGCGACTCGGGCGCAAAGCACAGCACGGGGAAGATGATGATGGGCCACAGCCACTGCAGGGCAAAGGGGATGCGAAAGGCCCACTCGTCGTCGGGGCGGCGGTTGACGAGGGTGGCCAGGACGGCGGCGGCGATGAGCTGGCCCAGGATGAAGCACATGTTGGTCCAGGAGGTCAGGTAGCTGCGGAGGGCGGTGGGCAGCAGCTCGGAGGCGTAGGCGGGGGCGGACGAGGCGAAGATGCCCCAGGGGAGGCCGCAGAGCAGCTCGCCGACGAGGAGCACGGTGATGGTCGGGGCGAAGAAGGTGAGGCAGATGAAGGCGCTGAGGACGGCGAGGGCGGCGAGGAGGACGCGCTTGTGGCCGTGGCGGGCGACGAGGTGGCCGTTGAGGGCGGTGCCGACAAAGCAGCCGACGGGGGCGGCGTTGGCGAGGGCGGCCATCCAGGCGGCGGTGAGCTGGTGCTGGCCGTGCTCGTCGACGAACTGGCCGTACTTGGCAGCGAAGGCGGGATAGGCGAAGAAGTTGCCGATGCTGGGAGCGTGAGGGAGTGAGCGAGTGAGCGAGCGAGCGAAGCGAGGACAAAAAAAGAAAAGAAACGCGAGCGAAGCGAGGACAAAAAAAAAAGAATAAAAGCGAGGACAGACGTACAGAATCATGTCGTAGCCCTCCATGATGACACAGGCAGACGTGACGAGACACCAGAAAATGGCCTTGCGGTAGACGCGGACGGCCTGGCGGACGGTGAGGTTGGTGTCGACGTCCATGTCGGTGTCGATGTCGATGTCGAGGTCGAGGTCGAGGCCGAGGCCGAGGCCGACGTCGGTGGCCGCGGTGCGTGCGGCACGTCCCAGCGCAGGCGGCCGACCGACCAGGCCCTGCCGCTCGCTGGGCACATTGTGGTCGTGGTCGTGGACACCATCACGATGGCCGTCACTGTCGTGATCGTCGTCACCATCGTCACCATCACCGTCACCGTCATCGTCGTCGTCGTCGGATCCCAGTGCAAAGGGATCGTATTCGGGGCTGCGGGCCTTGTGGCCGGCGCTTCGGCCGCCAGAGCCGCCCGCTGGGGAGGTGGAGGAGGGCATGGTGGCATGCGGTTGGTGACGGCTAGCTCATGGTGTCGCAGGTGTCGGGTGTCGTGATGTTCATGACGATGTTCGTGACAGTGTTCGTGACAATGTTGTGTGTTCGCTGGGGAGGAAAGGAGAGTCACGCACCACTCCTTCCTTCCCTGCTCGCACGGCACGGGTCAGACAGGGAAGGCACCATGGATCGTCGTGCAGGGGCAGTGCGGTCGTTGCTGGCCAATCAGATGGGCACATTCAGCGTGTGAAAGTGGAGCACGACTGCAGCATCACGAGTCTGGAGCAATTGCATACAGCAAAGACAGCCTTCTCACGTCTTCACAACGATCCGCTGGACATTGTGCAGTTGTATTGCATTGTATTGTATGCTCTGTCTAGTGTTATGTCTGATGCCCGTCGCCGTTTGGGTGGAACAAGAGTCAGCCCCCGCCGGCCCCATGGAGAAGCAGAAGAGAATCAACAGAGTTCAGCTCCCACCAAGACTCAGCTCCCATGACGTCGTCAGCGCGGATCGCGAATCATGTACACGTGCTCGTACGCCCCCCCAAAGTACCGCCGCGTCTCCACCTCCCGGTACCCGTGGCCCTTGGACGTGTACACGGGCCGGCCGTCGGGCGTCGCGTCCAGGTAGCACGGCACCTGCTGCGCGTCGGCCTGCTGCTCGGCCCACCGCAGCAGCGCGCCGGCCGCGCCCTTGCCCTGGTGGGCCGGGTGCGTGGCAATCAGCTCGAGGTACCAGTGCGGCTGCTGCTGGCCCGCGTTCGTCGGGTGCGCCATGTAGCGCCGGTGCTGCCGCTCCAGGTCGTGGAAGAACTCGACGGCCGCGTCCGGGTCGCCGTCGCTCGGCCAGGCGTCGCGCGGCGGCATGGACGGGATGGGGTCTGTGGGCTTGCGGGGCGCGTTCCAGACGGCAAACGCCACAATGGCCTTGGGGCCCGCGTCGGTCGCCGCCGTCTCCATGACGCGGACGTGCACGTCGTCCTCGGTGAGGTTGTTGGTCAGGTTCTGCCGCCAAAACGGCCGCACCTGCGTCGACGTCGGCGGGAACACCACCTTCTGCACGCCGTTGTCGGCAAAGGCGGCCATGTAGACCTCGACCAGCTGGTCCACGTCGTCGACCGTGCCGGCGCGCATCGTGAGAGCCATTGTGGTGTGTGGTGTGTGGTGTGTCTGTTGTAGTGTGTCTGTGATGAATTTATTATTTGGAAGATGCTCGAGACGTGTCTGCAGACAACTTCTCTGTGACTGGACTGCTTGACGAGGACTGCAACGGCCTTTGTATCTTTCGTCCAGAAATGCGACGCTGCAAAAGTAAGTCGATCGACGCTTGCTTACGGCTGACGTTTGACGTTTGTGTCGTCGCTTGCGCTGCCGCAGCCGAGTTGTCGTCGCTTTCTTTTCTTTTTTCTTTTCTTTTTTTCAGCTGAGGCACAATGTAACGTTTTATGCGCAGAAGACGCGATTCTCGCGGCGATCGTTGTCGTCTTCTTACACGGTCACGTTTTTACACCGCACGCCCGAACTGACTCACGTCGGCCAGCGGCAGGAGGGTGATCCGCTCTTTCTCAAAAGGAAAAAGAGAAAAAGGGACCCAAGGGGGAGGAACGACAAGAGCATAATTAGGAAGGTGCCTGGCTTGCTAGCGGCAGGTTCCAGACACTAGCCAACTGCCTATTCGAGACGCCGTCTGTCTTGATGGACATCTGTCAGGAGCTACCGCCACCACTAAGCCAACTGCAAAATAGAGCCCTCAAACGCAAGGCTAGATCACAGGTCTGAAGTAGTAGTCCAACATCATCAAACGCAAGTCAGTATCCATTCGATGTTCACTTGACTTCTACGCTTGTCGGCAATATCGCAATCCTGTGATGGCAATGCTCATATATTGTATATACAAAAACACGATCGTCCATGGTCAATTCGCGCATACGAAATGGTCTCAAAATACAGACACAAATACACGTCTCGTATCAACACTCTGCGTCCTCCTAATCGTCAATCGGCAGGACTGTGCGCACGCCGTCCCGGATTTGGCCTGCAAAGTTAGCATCGATAGCATCATGCAGACAAAGACAACGCTGCGCAATTGACTCACTCTCGAGGTAGCTCGTGATTTGGCCGTAGTCTTTGCACACTGTGGGAGTTAGCGGCGGTCGGCAGAGGATCAAAATCGACCCAGGAAAATGTCTATAGCTGCGAACAGCCAGACACAGAGGGAGACAGAAAGACACGAAAACACTGAGACAGTGGCCGTAGACCTTCGCGTCTACCCGCAACTCACCATGATGACCGCTCCACCCCCCGTCCAGCGCCCCATTGTCCGACGCGTCCGTCGGCTCGTGCGCCTCCACCGCCACGTCGCCCGCGCACATGGCCGCCTGCCGCAGATAGTCGATGCAGTGCAGGTAGTGCGAGTGGTAGTCCGCCGGCAGGTCGGGCGACGGCATGGCGTTCATGCGCAGCGCCGTGTAGATGCGGCCCATCATCAGGATGCAGTGCAGCTGGTGCGTCATGGTCGTCGTGAAGAAGGTCGTCGCGGCCTCGGTGTTGTGCCAGCCCGTGCCCTGCGGCATCAGCGTGTTCCACGTGGCCAGCGTGGTGTTGCTGGCAAAGTCGGCGTCCTTGGGGGGGACAAAGGCCTCGTCGGCCTCCCACTTGACGACTTTTGTGCGGACTGTGGGGGGCGAGTGCGAGTCGCGAGCGTTAGCAAGTGAGGACGAGCGAGGACAAGGGCGAGAACGAGTGAAGAGTGCAAGTGGATGAGGAATGAGGAACGGCGTGTGTGCAGCATGTCCCCCAACTTACAGATCGGCCCCGTCTTCATATAATCCCCCCCGACCTGCCACCGCGCCGGCCGCTGCCGCACCTCCAGCTGCAGCAGCACCACCAGCCCCAGAATCACCACCAGCAGCCCCGTGTCCACCATCCAGCGGTGGCGCCGGACCGCCCCCAGCACGCGGCTCGCGCGCGACGGCCGTCGGCCCAGCAGCCCCCGCTCCAGCGCAACGGTCTCCCACTGCTTCTCGTCGTCCGTGATCAGGGCATCGTCGACCTCGGTGTCGGAGCCGTCTTCGCCGCTGCGGCGGGTGCTGTCGGCGCTGTCGGCGCTGTCGGCAGCCGAGCGCGCGGTGTGGTCGGCGGTCTGTCGTGCCAGTCGGTCGCTGCGGCGGTCGGCCTTGCGAGCGTCGGCGCGGACGGGGTTGTACGCAGCGGAAGACATTTGGGGAAAAAATAGAGAAGCAATACGTAAACAAGAAGAAAAATAGTGACAAAAAAACAGGTCAACTGTCGGCAGAAACGAAAGCAATGATAAATGAGCAACAAACAAATAATGTGAAAAGAGTAAACTGGCCAAGAACAAACACACATTCATAAAAGGAAAGATGAGGCGACCGAGTTCACTACCATGCGTCGTCCTTTGTCTGCCCATTTGCTTCTGAGGCGTTTCAGGTTGGTCGAGGGTCGTGTTCCAGAGTTCCAGATTCGGGGTCAATTCCTACGCCGCTGCGACGCTGTGACCCTGCGGCCGAGTACTGTGCTGTGCCTTGTGGGTCATGTAAGACGGCACGCCCTATTCTCTTTTCATCTCCTCTATTTTTCATGTTCCTTTCTGTAATTTGCCAAGTCTGATGCACAATCATGTCGATCGTGCAGGTTGCCGGCATGGTGTGCGACCTACTCTACACTTTCTATTCGATCCGTCTACCGTCTATGTACATGAATTACATCATTGCTATGCTTCTGGTCCCCCCCCTTCATCCCCCCCCTCATCCCACGTACTGTGCGTATTTTGTAAATTCTGGGTCGGCCTGCAGGTTCGCCAAATCGGCCGCCCGCAAACACACGCCCACCGCCACTGTGCCGTCCCCGTCCGCCGGCATCAGGTACGCCAGGCTCTCCACCGGCGTAAACTGTGGACGGCGTACGGCCACGGGCCGCTGCCCGCCCAGACCAAAGTCCGTGTCCACGCCGGGCGCCGTCGTCCACGAACTCAGCATCAGGCCGCCGGCCGCGGCATCGACTGGCCCGACAAACGAGAGGCGCCGGCCGGCCTGCTCGGTGTGCTTTTCCAAACACGTAGCCAGCGCCCGCGTCCGTTCCCGGAGACGATCGGGCTGCAGGAGGGCGGCGCGGAGCTGGGCAGACGCTGCGCCCAGGGACGCATCGCAGACCCAGGCGACGGGGTGGGTGTGGATGGTCATGTTCTGGAGGAGGGCCGGGTAGTTGGGGGGCAGGCCGAGGTGGCGGCGGACATTGACGGCGCGGGCGAATGTCGACAGAGGGGGAGAAGACGACGTCGACGTCGACGTCGACGTCAACCTCGCTCTCCGCGCCCGCAGGATCGCCTGCCACAGAAACGCCGACAGCGCATCGTTGGTCGACACAAAAGGGATGCCGCCCGCCTTGGGCAGCGTCCGCGTCGCCTCGTCCTTGAGCGCCTCGAGGGCCGTCTGGCTGACGTGGAAGTAGGACCACGCGATGGGCGGCGGCGGCGTCGGCGGCCCCGTCTCTGGCGCCTCTCCGGGCTGTGCCCCGTTCCCCTCGCTCTCGCTCTCGCTCTCCCCCTCCTCCACTGGCAGCACCTGCTCTGGAATCAGGGCAAACGGATCGCCCGCCCCCTCGTCCAGCAGATCCACCGCGCCCGCCCGGTCGCCGTTGCCCACGGCCAGGTCGTCCGCGCTGTACGCCTCGCCCCGGCACGCCTGGGCCAGCCAGTCCACGACGGCCGTCTGGCCCACCATGTCCATCGCCGCGTGGTGCCCCACGACGGTCAGCACCAAACCGCCGCCATGCAAAAACGTCGCCTGCACGAGCAGCACGGGCCGCTCGGCCGGCTCCGCGGGCGACGGCAGCGTCCGCCGCGGCGCCACCACCGACTCGTCGAGCAGCCGGAACGGGTACTGCGCCGCACGGAGGGCCGTCATCGTCAACGTCAGCGGCGCGTCCGTCACCACCAGCGGCGGCGGCCCATCGGGCAACGGCGCAAAGTGCAAGTGCCGCCGGCCGTCCGCCCCCGCGGCGCGCACGACCTGCCCGCCGAGCCACGGAAACGCCGCGACCAAGCGCGCGAGGCCCGTCTGCAGCGTGGCCACGACGGCGGCCCGCTCGGGCGTCGCGGCGAAGACGTACGCAATCTGCGTGTAGATCTGCATCCCGGCCTGCTGTCCAAACACGCCCACGTCCATGTGCGCCGCTGCGGCCGCGTCGAGGTGCACGAGCGTCTTGGTCTTGGCGGCGAGGGCGGGGGCGGCCATGGTGAGGGATGTGCCGACAAAGTGATGTTTGTTATGTTGGCACTGGATTGGAGACTGTTGTTTGGGTGAGCGCTGGAGCACTGGAAGCCGACTACAGTGCACCCACTAACCCACTCTGCCCCACAAACAGCATCTGAAAACTGCCCGCCAAAAACGGAAGGACCCGACGCTGACTCAAACTGCTGCAACCGACGTGGTTATATGTTGACGTTCTCCCTGTTGTACTATTTATTTTTTTACACTGCATTGCTCGACTATATTTATATTGTACAATTTGTATATTTGTACACGAGGCACACAATATTTTAAAAAGAGAGAGTAGTGTGAATTAACTTGGAATTGTCTGAGTTAACATTGATTCAACGTCTCGTTAATGTAACAAGAGAGCTATGCAAATAGAAAAATTGTTGAAAATGACTGAATAAAGTAAATGAGACGAATAGTTACACGTACAGTATTTATGACGTACATTTGTCTCGAGTTATGACGACCGTCTTTACGACGACTATAGCCACCTTTAGAACCGCCTTGCTAAGCCGCCTACGTCTTTCCCTTTTAAGCTTGTTGACCACGGTTGAGGAGCAAGAGCAGCCCGGCAAGCACGACCGTCTTCCTCTTGCCCAACCTGGACTTTGTGCATCTCCTCTTTGCCCCTGAATTTACCATCTTTTAATCTCGCCATCCTTTCGAGTTATCAACCGACGTTCTGGCATCACTCAACTCACCCAGTCACGACAACCAACGGCTTCCGCTCCGTATTGCTCCCTGATGTCTCGCGCCGCTTGATGCAAGACGAACAACGCCGCATTTAACATCTACAAAAGCAGCAACAAAACCCGCCTTTGTTTTGAATCCGATCCTCTTGACGTGCCACTCCTCAAAACTGCCAGGCGCCTAACTTTCTCGCGGGGATTCGTTAGGATGCTTGGCCTCATCAAGGCGCGGCCCTGGCCGGTCCTGGCCGGGGGTTTGGCCTCAGAGGGTCGGCCAATCGGGCCCCAAGCCACCGACCAAGTTCCAGGCTGTTCGCACCAAATCCGTCCAGGCTGTGCATCTCCTCGTTCCATGCTGCTCCAGCATGCATGCTTTTGCACATTTGTGTCTTCCGTCACAGCCTTTCCCGCCGTCACATCACTCTCATTTGCTCGCTTGTCCATGTGCAGAAATGCACTTTGACAAGCAGACAGCGACAACCAATGAATTTCCACCCAGCCACAGGACCATCCATGGAGAATGCACACAGGAAGACACAGGAAAGGCCTTGTCCTGGGCCTGCCATCTGTCACGGCTGCGCCTAGCGACTGTCCTGAGAATGTTCGAGAAGAGGAGGGCGAGCTCTATTAAATGGATTGCCGTCCCCTTCATGCTATCATGGTCGACCGTTGCAGTCTATCCACAAAGTTCACTTGCAAGAAGCGTACGCAAACACAATTCTCACCATCTCAGTCTCAGCACGACCGACGCAGCAACGCACCATCCCCATGCCACCATATCATCCCACCACAGCGAGGCCCAATCCGGCCCGCATGGCCGAGCGTCCCGATGAGTGCCTCTTCTTCATCGACGACTCCAACATCTGGATCCACGCGCAAAAGTTCGCCGCAAAGGCAAACGCCCACCGGCCCAAGCTGACCGACAGCGACCAAGACCCGCGCCTGCGCATCGACATTGGCCGCCTCGTCACCACGCTCCTCAAGGCCAACGGCGGCAGCGACGCCACCGGCAAACCCAACCGGCACCGCGTCCAGAGCAAGTCGTTCTACTATGGCTCCAAGCCGCCGCCCAGCGACTCCGTCTGGGAGGCCATGGAGAAGAACCACTTCGAGACCAAAATCTATGACCGCGCCGCCAGCGGCCGCGAGAAGGAGGTCGACGGCTCCATGGGCGCCGACATTTCCGGCATCGCCTCGGACCTGTCGGCGCGCGCCGACATGGAGGCCCAGATGGAGGCCAAGTACCGCATCGAGGCCTACGAGCACCGCAACCGCATCAACCACACCACCTTCATCTGCATTACCGGCGACCGCGACATGATGCCCGCCATCCTCAAGGCCCTCAAGTCGGGCATCTGCGTCGAGCTGTGGGCCTGGAAGCACGCCCTCTCCAAGGACTTTGTCAAGCTCGAGACCGCCACCGACAAGCAGCCCCTGGCCTCGCTGTTCTCCGTCAACTACCTCGACGGCGTCTTTGCCGACATCTTCTTCACCAACTACTTCTCGACACGCCGCGGCCGTGGGACCGTCGACCCGGCCAAGTCGGTCGTTCTGTGCGACTTTGTGCCGGCCTGGTACGAGCAGTTTATGCTCAGCCCCGCCGGCGCCGGCGGGGCTGCCAACGACGCCGTGGACGGGTCCTGGACGGGGCCCCTGGGCAAGGACGAGTCCCGCAAGGGCCCCAGCGCGCTGGAAAAGGCCGTCTGCGACAAGCTCATGCTGCTGGGCAAGGTCTTTTACATCACGCGGGACGAGCCCCCAGCCACGGCCACGTCGCCGGCGACCGCCGCGCCGCCCACGCTGTTCATCGAGTTCTCGCGCGTCCCCAACAACCACATCGAGCCCGTGCTCCTCAAGGTGCGCACGTCGTTCCGCGGCATCGCCACGGTCCTGTCGTGGCCCGTCTACGCCGGCCGGACCAATCGCAAGACCGTGCCCACGGCCGAGATGAGCAACATGTACGCGCCCCTGAGCGGCGACGATGCGCACGTGCAAGAGCTGGATGCAGACGACGACGATGTGGGGGACGTGGGGGACGCCGAGGTCGCCGAGGAGGCCGAGGACGCCGAGGAGGGGACGACTGCGGTGGACGTCAACGCCGAGACGGTCGACGGCACAGCTGAGGCGATTGCGGACACCAGCACCGACGGCACCGACGGCACCGACGGCACCGACGGCACCGACGGCACCGACGGCACGCCCTCCGACGACGGCTGGCAGACCGTCTCCCATTTCGACCGCGCCGAGTCCCACCGCCGCAACCGCAACCGCACACAGCGCTGCCGGTACGGCATCCACTGCTACAAGCGCGGCCAATGCGGCTCCGTCCACACCAACATGGAGCACAACCTCTTCCAAGAGTTTCCCTGGCTGAACTTCAAGCGCTGGCGCTCCGAGCCCTGCCGCTTCGGCGACGCCTGCGCCAACGGCCGGCGGTGTGCCTATGCCCATTCGGCCAGCGAGGCGTGGTGCATGAACTGCCACATCATGGGGCATTACTCAAGCGACTGCAAGCACTGAGCTGGACGCAGAGGCCACCGACGCCCCGTTAACACTGTTTGGGTTATTTTTTGATTTTGATTTTGATTTTATTTTTTATGGTTTGGTTTCTGTTTCGCGTTTATACGAGCCTTGCTTACGAGTCATGCTTTTAATTTGCTGCATAGTTTACGTTGTTAATGTTCTTGATTTGATATATACACCGTTTTTGTATATCGTGCCTCTTGGGTACGCAATGCAAGCTTCTATGACGAGAAAAAAAAAAAAACCGAAAAGCAGACCAAGTAAAACGCCGTCCATGGACAAAACAAGAATACGAACCGAACACACACCCCCAAACAGAAGAAGTGCCCCGTCCCCTCGCGCCTACCTCTTCTCCGCATCAAAGACAATTTCGTCGCCCTCCCGCTTGGCCGTCATCACCACCACCTCTTCCTCGTCGTCGTCGTCGTCGTCGTCCGCGTTGGGCTCCTTGTTCAGGTCCAGCGCGGCCGTCGCACGGTCGAGACTGGCGCCCTGGCCGTTGTCCTTTTTGGAGGAGGATGGCGCCACCGTCGCCGCCGCAGCCGCGTCCTCCTCCGCCTTCTCCGCCTTCTCGGCCGACGCCAAAAAGTAGTCCACCACCGCCACCTGGTCGTGGAGCCCCGCCAGGTCCAGCGCCACGTAGTTCTTGTCGTTGGCCAGCGCCGGCGACGCGCCCGCCTGCTCGACGAGCGCCCGCACCACGGCCAGGTGCCCGTTCATGGCCGCCCAGTGCAGCGCCGTGTTGCCAAAGGCGTTGGTGGCGTCCAAAAAGGCCTGGCGGGCGGGGGCGGGGGACTGTCCCTGTCCCTCCTTGATCTGAGAGAGGATGAGGGTGACAATGTCTGCGTCCTGTTAGCCATACGTCATCCAGTGTTGGGCATTGTTGTCATTGCTAGGGGCATTGTTGGGGCGCACACACGCGCACACACCCAAATGTCCATTCCCTGCAGCCATGTGCAGGGGCGTGTTCTTGCCGGCATCGACGGCGGAAGTTAGGATACTGAGAGGCGTGGCATCGCCTCCGGCATTGGCGACGAGCGCGGCGAGCGTGTCCGCGAGGTCGGCTGCTTCGTTGGCCCGCGCAAAGTAGAGGAGGTCGTCGACCTCGTCTTCTGTTAACGTGACCATGGCGAACAGTCGAGGAAGTGGCCGAGTGAGCTGAGCGAGCGAGGCGACAAAAAAGAAGCCGTGTTGAGTCGAGTGGAAGAAAAGTGGTAAAGTCAGAGAGGAGCCAATGGGGATGCTGCATTCGACTTTGACCTTTGCTGAAACTTTTTTTTTGGAGCCCAAGGCTAGCAGCGCGGGGCGGCAATACAGTGTGTAGATAGCATTATAACTGTAGAAATGCTACTCCACTGAGCAAACGGTGCCTCGGGTGCCCCGTAAATACAGTGTTGATGCTACATAAAGCACTGTATCTAATACACCCTGTCGAACCAGCCTCAGCCTTGTGGTCAGCCAGCGCCGCATGACACTTTTTCACGACGGGTTTTATCATTTCGGAGACAAACCTTCATTTTTTTACCTGACTATTATGCCACCTGATTCCTCGTCTATAGTTTCCCTTACACCACAATCAAATAATATCCAAGCCACCTTCCTGGTCTTGGTAAAGCTTTTCGTCCAGCCAAGTCGCGAGATCTCCATAGTCGTCGGCCGCCTGGATCTCAGCTTTGATATTGAGCATGAGCATGACCTGCACTTCGCGGTACTGCTCAAGGGACGCTGCATCGGAGTCGGCTTTGGCGCCGTAGATCATGTCTTTGAGAAGACACACAGCCGTACGCCGGTCCGTGTCGGTCAACGGCAGAACGTCGTTCAGGGCCGACCACGTATGACGCGCGCCGACGGAATTTCGAGGACAGAAAAGGTCACAGCTCTGGATACCCAGCCACTTCATTCCGGGGACCGTCGTATTGGCCTCGTGGCTCAGACTCTGGCTGCCATATTTGTACGTTCGGAAGATGCGCAGGCCGTGCGGATCGTAGTCGACCAGCCCGTAGATGGGAAGCCTGGGTGCTGTCTCATGGATGTGGTGTAGGAACGAGCGGGTAACGAGAGTCGGGTAGCCTTTGGACTTTGCTTCGTCAGTGGTGGCCTTGTCTATACGGTGTTCCTGATGCCGAGGCGTATCTCAACTAACCGTGACAAGAGCGCCGGGCCCAGCGACGGATGCGTTGCAGTAGCCCGACGCGGCGAGTGTTCTGAATGTAGCCTAATCATGAATTCGATGAATTAGATGACTTAATAACGATTGAACTTTTAAGAACATATCTGTAGTCACGGGCACAATACTTCTTTCTCAATGACAAGGATCCATTGGCACAAAGACAGATCGAGCTCTTGGATTTCTCTCATCGGTGGAATGGCAATCCCCTAGTGGCAGATGCTGTTAGTCGGAATTCTGTGGGTGTGAGCGAGAAGGATCTGCTTACATTCTCTTGGTTGGCTGCTGAGAAGTATGCATTGTGGTGTGTAATGAAACCGAGTTGGCCGCACAGCAAGCCAACGCTGGCCGCCACCTACCATTGTTAGTAAGAGCCACCAACAAGATTGTATCTCACCAGACGTACAATGTTGAGAGAGTCCCGGCCAAGACTGAGCGTGTAGGCAATGTCGTCGACCAAGCTGTCAACAACTCTCTGATCCCGAAACAGGTCACGGTACTGGTAGAAGATGTTTCTGGTCCGTCAGCATCCACCCGAACTCTGCCAGCACATGGACCCCGCACGCTGAAATCAATACCTCTTGGTGACAACTGTGCCCGAAAGGAGCGCCTGGTGAGACAGCTGCAGGATGCTGAGTACTTGGGCTAAGCGAGATTTGAGAGTTAGTATACCGGACTGCATATACCAGACTGCACCCGTTACGTGGCAGGATGCATCTCATGACCGCGGAAAGGCTTCCAAAAAATCGGTGGCCCACTGAAAAGTTTGCCCTCGGCCTCGGTCTTCCCGGGAAAGGACACAAAGCCACAGGGCTGCTGCCTGGCTGCATCGCCATCCCGGGATGCAACACGGGCTCTGGGCCTGGTGCGGCGAGAAAAGGGAATGGTCAATTCTGTGCCCCGGATGATATTGTCCAGTACAGTTTCCATGATCTGCTCAATCTTGTTCACGGCCATGCCCATGCGGCTGGACGACGCAAGCGCGGCGCTCTGTGTGTCTCTACTCGGGCTGGGTGTTGCCCTGGATGTGGAACTCTGCGGAACTATGTTGGTCGACCGCCCATTGCCTCGAGGCGGACATGCAGAAGAATGCGTAAAGGCATTGGGGAATGAATGAGGGGAAGATGACGGCGTAGGAGGCCGCGGGCAATCGGCCAGACTGGGCATGGCGGTGGGACTGCAAGGCTTGGCACGCTTAGACAAGATATCAGAGTGGTTCTGGTAAATGCGTTGTGATCAAATGGTGACGGCAATAGTGGCAGTATGATATTTCGTTGTTGATTCTATTCAGGGGGCATCGGCCCGAGGGGGGGAAAAGAATGAGGAGAAGGAATCCGGGGTTGCACCCCTTTTCGAGCCATTTTAAATAGTGTTCCTCTTGGGATGAAAAGGGAAAGAGCATTGGGCGTGATGAAGGCCTTGAGACAAGTATTTAGGAAGCTGCGATGATGGTCGTCGGATCAGTTCCGACATGTTGTAAGTCATGCAGGAAGGAACGGACGACACCAACATGAATGCAGGCCAAGACGGAACGATCCCTGAATCCCCAGGGCACCATTTCGGGACTTTGCAGTCAACAAATTGAGTTCTAATGGGTGGGAAGACAAGGGGCAGATTGGCGCTAAAACGGAAGGTGTGCCCCATTACAGCTCCAGCAAGAAAGTGCGACCCACCATAAAGTCGAGGCTCCCCCCCTAAACAACAAGACGACCATTTTGTGAACTTTGACTTAACTTCATCACAACCCAACGTTCAACCCCAACTTCGGCACGACCTGCCATCCTGACATATCGTCACTCTACCCGCAGATAAGGGTCAAATACAACTGGCAGCATAGGCATGGTGCAAACACGCTCGACGGCCGTTGCCGTCGAACCGACTTCGACACCCAGCAAGAAGCGTGCGAACGACAGCGCTAATGGCCATGGCGACAGCAACGGCAACGGCAACGGCAACGGCATCGGCACCCAACTCGGCGATGAGAATGGCAGCCTGACGAACCCGGCGAAACGGCAGCGTCTGCCCGAGCGGACGGACCCGTTGCGATGGCGGCTGCGCGACGACGCGGGCTTGCAGACGTGGCACTACCTGGACGACGACGCCGAGGCAAAGGAGTGGCCGCAGAGTCTTGCCGACAAGTACTTTTTGGGACTGTCCCTGGTGCGTGTGCTCATCTTCCCGTGCACTATTTCAGCGCACATTTTTCCTCTTGTATTCTGACGTGTAGCAGGACCTCCCCGATCTGCCGAAGCCGACGACCCCGACCGAGTCCGTCCAGAACGGCCTCTCCTTCTTCGAGAAGCTGCAGCTGCCGCCGGGCAATTGGGCGTGCGAATACGGCGGGCCCATGTTCCTGCTGCCGGGCATTGTCATTTCCTGGTACGTGACCAAGACACCCATCTCGCTGGCCTACGCGACCGAGATCAAGAACTACGTGTTTGCACGCGCCAACCCGGACGACGGCGGCTGGGGCCTGCACATTGAGGGCGAGAGCACCGTGCTCGGCACCTCGCTCAACTACATTGTTCTGCGCATCGTGGGCGTCGACGCCGACGAGCCGCGCATGGTCAAGGCGCGCGCGACGCTGCACCGCCTGGGCAGCGCCACGCACGGCCCGCACTGGGCCAAGGTGTGGATGTCCGTGCTGGGCGTGGCCGACTGGCGCATCGTGAACCCCGCGCCGCCCGAGCTGTGGCTGCTGCCCGACTGGGTGCCCATTGCGCCGTGGCGCTGGTGGATCCACATGCGGCAGGTGTTTCTGCCCATGTCGTACATGTACTCCAAGCGGTGGGTCTGCGAGGAGACGGAGCTGGTGCGCGCGCTGCGCCAGGAGCTGTACACGGAAGACTATGCGCGCATCGACTGGGCGCGCCACCGCAACTCGATTGCGCCCACGGACAACTACCACCCCAAGTCGTGGCTGCTCAGCGCGGTCAACTGGGCCCTGGTGCACGTGTGGAACCCGTACCTGCGGCCCAACGCTGTCAAGAGGCGCGCCGAGCAGTGGGTCAGCGACCTCATCGACATGGAGGACGAGAACACCGACTATGCGAATCTCGCCCCGGTTAATAGCCCCATGAACCTGGTGTGTTGCTACATCCGCGACGGGCCCGACGCCTACTCGGTGCGCCGCCACCGCGAGCGCATGCGCGAGTTCCTGTGGGTCAAGAGCGAGGGCCTGCTGTGCAACGGCACCAACGGCGTGCAGTGCTGGGACACGGCCTTTGCGATCCAGGCCGTCATGGACGCCGGCCTGGAGACGGACCCGCGCTGGCGCCCGATGCTGCTGTCGGCGCTGGCGTTTCTCGACGACCAGCAGATCCGCGAGGAGGTGCCGCACAAGGACCGCGGGTACCGGCAGCGCCGCAAGGGCGCCTGGGCATTTAGTAATAAGACCCAGGGCTACGCCGTCAGCGACTGCATCTCGGAGGCGCTCAAGTCGGTCATCCTGCTGCAGAAGACGCCCGGCTTCCCGCAGCGCATTGACGACCAGCGCATCTTTGACGCCGTCGACACGGTGCTGACGTTCCAGAGCCCCTCGGGCGGCTGTGCGTCGTACGAGCCGCCGCGGGCCGGCGAGTGGATGGAGATGCTGAATGCCGCCGAGGTGTTTGGCCGCATCATGGTCGAGTACGACTACCCCGAGTGCACGACGGCGGTCGTGACGGCGCTGTCGCTGTTCCACAAGCACTGGCCCGCGTACCGCGCCGAGGAGATCAACAAGTTCATCCAGCTGTCCGTCGGCTGGATCAAGACGGCCCAGCGGCCGGACGGCAGCTGGTACGGCAGCTGGGGCATCTGCTTTACCTACGCGACCATGTTTGCCCTCGAGAGCCTGCACGCGGTGGGCGAGACGTGCGCCAACAGCGAGCACGCGCGCAAGGCCTGCGCGTTCCTGCTGTCCAAGCAGCGCGCCGACGGCGGCTGGTCCGAGAGCTACAAGGCCTGCGAGCGCATGGAGTATATTGAGCATCCGTCCGGGTCGCTCGTCGTGCAGACGGCGTGGGCCGTCATCGGCCTGCTCAAGGCCGACTACCCGGACGTGGCGCCGATCCGCAAGGCGGTTGGCCTCATCATGTCGCGGCAGCAGAGCAACGGCGAGTGGCTGCAGGAGGCGATTGAGGGCGTGTTCAACAAGAGCTGCATGATCTCGTACCCCAACTACAAGTTTGTCTTTCCCATGAAGGCGCTGGGCCAGTTCCACCACAAGTACCCCAACGAGCGGATCGTGGTATAAAGGGCGGAGCAAGCGGGTAGCAACGTGGCGGCTGTGCTGCAAAGAATAGACTTATAAGGGAAAATGAGCAGTAGTAGAGACGGCGAAGAGAAGACGGAGTATAATTATGGGCTGGGTTTCGTTTTTAGTTTTATGACATCGACGACGGCGATCGACGATCCGCTCGAGGCTTTCGGGCCAGCATAGACCACACACTTGAGAGCTATGCACCTCAACACACACAGTAGTAATACGCCTTCATAGCAAGAATACGAGCACGATTGCTTGCTGTATCAAAAGACGTGATGACAATGGTACGACTTGTGTGAACAGTCACGTGCGCCGACAGAGAGACACCTCGGCTGGCGTTACCAAACTGGGGCAACTGACGGGACGCTCTCCAAGAATAGGTTGAGCTAGCCCCCGCAGGCACTAGCACGTCCATGCGCCTCCTTAGCACCTTCCCCGTTCTCCTTTCTCAGATTCCTTCCTTTTCGGCTCTTTTGATTGCACGCCAACTTGCCGACAACATCATCCAGGGAAGCAGCGACGGGCAGACGACTACTCTAGCGACTACGTTCGTTGCTCTTTCCGTCCTTTCTCCCCTGTCGTCCAACCGCAATTGCTGTTCCAACGCGCCTTCTTCTTTCGGTTTGCAGCCATTGTTGCTCGATTTGTTTACCCTTTTGCCGCCGATCTCCGACCTCCTCTCTCAAACTACAAGACACAACACGCCGACACCCGACACTTGGCCATGCTTTCCCTGCGCCGCGCTGCCGCGGCTCCGTCGTCGGCAATGTTGAGCCGGCTGGCCAGATCCGCCACGGCATCCGCCCTGCGACGCGCACCGTTTGTTTCGCAGGTCCGCGGCGTCGCCACGGACGACAATTCGACACCGCGGGCGTCTCCCGACGAACCTCAGCTCGACGTGGCTGCTTCCACTGCATACGTTATCGTGCGCGAACCGAGGGGGCGACCTCGCAAGCCGCTGGCTGGGGGCCCGGGCCAGGGCATAACGAGACGCTGGTCGAAGCCCAAGGAAGAGGGCGAGGCCAGCGGCGTGCAGACCGCCAGCACCGGGGAGGCGCAGCCATCGGACCAAACATATGCGCCGCATATGTACAATATGGGCGTCTTGCGTAAGCATGTTATCGGAAAACCCACAAGAGCAAAGCCGAGCGAGACGGGGCCAGCCATTGACGGCATCGTGCAGTCCGTCGAGTACGCGAGCCAGACGGACGAGCTCATACTGCAATTCCGCGGCGTGAGGGGGCCGGTACGGGTGTCGACACTGTGGCTGCGCGACACCTGCGCATGCCCGACGTGTGTGACGGCGTCGTCGGGCCAAAAGTCGTTCCACACGCACGACCTCCCACGGTCGCCGCGCGTGCAAGAGTGCACGATCGTCACGGATCCGGCTAGCTTGCGGACGTCGCTGCGCGTGGTCTGGGATCCCACACCAAATAAGGCCGACGTCGGCACGGAAGCCGCTGGCGCCGTTGCCGGCGCCGACACGCACGCGTCGCTATTTGACACGCAAGAGCTGCTCTTCCGGCTGGCGCAGCTCGACCCGCCCAACTACCCTGGGCAGCTCGAGCGTCGCCTGTGGGACCGGACGACGATCGAAGCGGCACTCAAGCCTGTGTCGTATGCCGACTGGATGGCGCCCGACGACGGCAGCAACGCCGAATTTTACCGCGCCCTGCTGGACCTGCACGCGCTGGGCATTCTGATTGTGGACGGCGTGCCCGAGTCGGAGACGGCGGTGCGCCAGATTGCCGAGCAGATTGGCAACATCCAGAACACGTTCTACGGCGAGACGTTTGACGTGGTGTCCAAGCCGAATGCCGAGAACGTGGCCTACTCCAATGTGTTTTTGTGCCTGCACCAGGACCTGCTGTACATGAACGACCCGCCCTACATCCAGCTGCTGCACTGCCTGCGCAACGACTGCGACGGCGGCGAGTCGCTGTTCTCGGACTCGGTGCGCGCGGCCACCGAGATGCAGGTGTGCAGCCCCGAGAAGGTGCAGGTGCTGACCCGCGTCCCCGTGCGCTACCACTACGAGCGCAACGGCCATTACTACTACAACGCACGGCCTGTCTTGGAGCTGGAGCGGGACGGCGGGGCCCGCTCGACGCTGCTGGGGGCCGAACGCGCACCGCTTGGTCGTACCGGGGACCGCATCAAGCAGACGGCCTGGTCACCGCCGTTCCAGGACAGCATGCCCTACGACCTGACCAAAGCCATGGAATTTCCCGCCTGGTTGCGCTCCGCCAACCCCGTGTCGTATCCGCACCCCCGCGACAAGCTTGCCGCGACGTCGCAAGCGACGCGTCTCGCTCTGTGGCACGACGCCGCGGCCGAGTTCAGCGAGCGGCTCGAGGACCCCCGCGCGATGCTGGAGCTCAAGCTGCAGCCGGGCCAGTGCGTGCTCTTCAACAACCGGCGCGTGCTGCACGGGCGGCGGCAGTTCAATGCGTCCGCCGGCACGCGCTGGCTCAAGGGCACGTACATTGACGAGCAGACGTTCCAGAGCCGGCTGACGGACATGGTGCGCCGGGGCCGCGTGCCGGGCCAAGAGACCACCGAGGCCGAACGGGAGGCGCGACCGACAAACACGCCGCCCTTTGGGCCGTTTCCTCGGCCGTCGTGGGTGCAAGGGGCTATGGATCGGTCGCGGGTGGTGGAGATGATGAAAGAAGCCGGGCGGCCGGTCCCGGAGGGTACACGCCAGAGCCAGCCCTGGACCGCGGATGAGTAGAGATGTGCGGTGGCGAAGGGAGACAAAAGCTGGAAAAGGAGCTGGTCTGGGGTGGGATCTCGAAAGCAATGTACAAAGGATGCATTTTCAAAGAGATAGACCAATATGAGACGATGAGACGATGAGACGATGAGACGATGAGACGATGAGACGATGAGACGATGAGACGATGAGACGATGAGACGATGAGACGATGAGACGATGAGACGATGAGACGATGAGACGATGAGACGATGAGACGACGACTCCCGTGCAGACTCCATGGCAGTCCCTACTTGGCGTCACTATACGCGTCACTATACGCGTCACCATGCTTGGCCGTAGAAGGTCGGAGTACGATCCGAGAGATACGACGGTATATTCAAACATGCCCAGTGAACGTTGCAGCGTCTGTTTGGCACAGCCAAAAGGCACGGAATGCCCACTATGTCTGACGCCGCCCCTATTTGCAAGTGTCCCTTCCAGATTAGGAAGGAGACGTTTTTCGTAACTCCGAATGACAATTGGAGAAACAAAACGGCAGGTGCCTGCACCAGGCAGCCGCGCAAAAGCCGGCAAGAACGGCCGTCCTACAGACAGAGCCAAGGCCGAGCCCCACATTGTTTGGCGGACGGCAGGCACATAAGGATAAGGGCATGCTGTGCATACAGTTCGATTCATCGCAGCTCCTCCATTTGTATCTTCTTCCTTGCATCAACCCACCACTCCATCTGCACACACACGCGCGCAATCCACCCATACAATGGCCCTCCGCAAAACCGCCCCCTACGGCCGCTGGACCAGCGCCATCTCCGCCGAGGCGGCCACGGCCGGCACAAAGACGGTGACGTCGCCACGGGCGGCGCCAACCAGGCAAGGCCAGGAATGCGACAGAAAGACCAGAGGCTACTTCCTGGTGTCGCAGGACGACGGCCGGAGCACAATCTACGAGCACGACGCCGGGGACGAGGACGAGGACAAAGACGTTGTGCGAAAGGTGCTGCCCGAGCCGTGGGGCGTGGGCACGAGCGTCTACGAGTACGGTGGACAGGCCTATGCCGTGATGGGCGACGGCGCGATTGTGTTTGCGGACCCGCGCGACAACGGCGTGTACGTGCTGGACGTGGCGTCGGGCCGCGTGCGGACGCTCGTGGCGGGCACGCCGGCGCTGCGGTACGGCGACTTTGACGCGCCACCGGTCGAGCGCGGCGGCCACGACTGGGTCCTGGCGGTCCAAGAAGACCACACCCACCCGGCGCCGGCCGACGTGCAGAACTACATTGTGGCGATCCACCGGACGACGGGCACGGTCGTGCGCGTTGTCGAGGGCGCCGACTTCTACTCCTATCCGCGGTGGGGTGCGTCGTCCCAGACCGTGTCCGCGACAGGCGCCGCGACGCAGCACACAGGACTGGCCTGGCGCCAGTGGAATCACCCCGACCTGCCGTTCGACGGCGTCACGCTGCACTGGGCGGCGTGGGATGCATCGACAAACACGCTGTCGCAGACCACACAGGTGGCGGGCGCCAACCGCCAGTGCGTGGCTGAGGCTGTGTGGACGCCGGACCGAACAAGCCTCGTGTTCGGCATGGAGGCCGCGAAGACCGATGCTTTCCGGCAGCTGTACCGTGTGCGGCTTGGGGGTCCGGGCACTGGGGGCCCGTCATCGCCCGAGCCCGTCGTTCTCCAAGGGCTAGAGGACTGCGAGTTTGGCGATGCGTCGTGGCGGGTGGGATGGTCAGTGCCCTGTGTGCTCTTGCGTGCCCTTGTCTCAGTCATGTCGTGTCATTGTATGAGCGTGCTAACTGTGCACCAGTCAGACAATTGCCTTCCTCACCCCTACACGATTTGTGGCCGTCGCCACCTGCTGCGGCCAGAACCACCTGGTGTATGCCGACATCGACACGGGCGCCTGGGCGTCGCTCGACGCCGACGTCGGTTTGGTCGAGCTCAAGTTCGACCCGCTCGCCGCACTGTCGGCGTCCTCGTTCCTGGTTGTCGGCAGCGGATTCACAACGCCACAGGCGGCGTACCGGGTCGATCTCGACGTCGACGCGTGCAACAGGGCTCTTGATGCACGCAGTCATACTTCTCTGGGCGAGGAACAGCACACGCCCTTGGCAACACGAACGCGCCTCTTCCGCTCCACCGAGCAAAACTTTGATGCGCGCCTCTTTTCCACGCCCGAGCTGATCTGCATTCCGGCACCGGGCGCCGTGGGCGGCGAGCACCAGCAAGCCACAAGCGCGACTGCCACACACAACGTCTACGGCTGGTTCTGGCCGCCGCACAACCGCGCCTTCGAGGCCCCCGACGACACGCTGCCGCCTCTGGTCATCACGCCGCACGGCGGGCCCACGGGGTACACTGCGCCTGGCCTGCGCATGATGGCGCAGTACTGGGCGACGCGCGGCTTTGCCTACTTTGCCATCAACTACAGCGGCTCGTCGGGCCACGGCCGTGCCTACCGCGACCGCCTCTGGACGCGCTGGGGCCTGCTGGACCGCGACGACGTCGCCGCGGCGGCGCAGTACCTGACGGGCGTCCCCGGCACGGGCGCGTCGTTCGCGCGCGCCGACCCGCGCCGCGTCGGCATCGAGGGCGGCAGCTCCGGCGGGTACAACGTCCTGCAGAACTTGGTGCACCACCCGACGCTCTTTGCCGGCGGCGTCTGCTGCTGCGGCGTCGCCGACACGGCCGCGCTGGGGCGCGACACGCACAAGCTCGAGAGCCACTACCTCGAGCGGCTGCTGTGGCCGACGGCCGACCCCGATGCTATCCCGTCCCCGGCCGAGCAAGCACGCATCCACCGCGACCGCTCGCCGCTCCTCCACGCCGACCGCATCCGGGCGCCGCTGCGGCTGATCCACGGCGAGCGGGACACGGTCGTCCCGCTCGCGCAGAGCCGCGCGATTCTGGCGCAGATCCAGACGCGCGGCGGCGACGCCGACCTCATCGTGCTGCCGGGCGAGGGCCACCTGTTTGCCAAGCTGTCGAGCCTGGTGCTGTACCTCAACGGCGAGGCGGCATGGTGGGAGAAGACGCTGCTGGCGGCATAAAGTTGTAGACAAGGCGGTGGTCATTTTAGAATGGGATCGTCGTATGGCGTCGCATGGCGCTGTGGCAAGCTAAGCTGACTGTATTTAGTGGGCCAGGCCAGTGCTCATCCGCCCGAATCATGTCCGTTCCTGCATTGGCAGGCGCCACCCACCCACGTGTGCCAGTATCCTGCTTTAGCAGAAATGGGCGTAATACGGAGCACGGCTATTGTGGCCGATGGAAGTATTCCCACACCAACTGCCGTGGTCAGGGGACTCTGTCAACTTGATTGCACTTCATAGCGAGTCTACAACTCAGGTAAACTGCACTCTCACGTAGTAAACCTTACATAAGGCACACAGTATATCGTTTTTAAGCTTCTTTCCCTCCTTTGCTACCTCACACTCGCGCCTTCCCTCTCTCGTGGCGTCCTTGCCATTTTGTCGCGGTTTTCTGTGTTGGGTTGCTCCTTCCCTTTTGCCTTTCTCACTTGTCCCCGTTTTTATTCTCTTGGTCTGTTTTAAACAGCAGTGAGCTTGGTAAGTCTTAGCTTCCTGGCCTCCTTTTCGTCCTCTTTTGCCCGGCACCGGTCGTGGTTGCCTGTTTTGAGATACCCACACGCACCTGCCTTTCCAACAGCCAACGGCGTGAGACATAGTCGCACTTACCCAGACACGTCCCCTTTTATCGCACGACAACGGTGTACGTCGTACGGGTCGTTCCTTCCTTGTCCCCTACTGAGTCAGATCCTCCGTCTTTGTTGATCCTCAATTTGCTTCGTCCTTTTTATTTCTTCTCTTCCAATCTCTCCTTGTCCACCGTTCTTCTCATTCTGCTGTTCTGCCTTCGCCTCTCTTTTCCACCTGCACAACTTCGGACAACCGGCGGGCAAACAAATCGCATCACCCAGTCTTGGCCAGCCGTCCACAGCATCCCGCGGTTGTGTTGCACAGACGCTCGGGCGCACTGCGTCACCAGAAAATAATTTGGCCTTTCAACGCCACTTTGGTTCCAACGTTCGACATGCTCACGACAGCCCACAAAAGTCATCCACCAACCGCTGACAGCCCCTGCGTTCTGTGTCTCGAATTGTGCTGTTGTAAGCGAGCATCGAGGCCCCTGTCTGTCGTGCTCGGGACACACAAACGCAAAGAATTTCTCAAGCCCACTCGGACAAATAACAAACTAAAATAAAAATAAAAAATGAAAGGGCAGTCCATCTCTCAACACTATTGGATCCGAGTCATCTGCCGTCATCCCACTCATTTACTCTTTTTTTCTTTTGCCCCTTTTTGCAAAGACGAGATTTGACAGGCCGGCTCAAAAGGCATTGTGCTTCAAGAACACAGGGCTACAATCTAGGCCCGGCCGGAAGAGGTAGAAAAGAGAGTCTCAGCCAGCCACAGCGGGTCCAAAACCAGCGAAAAAAGAAAGACAAGCCCGAAAAGAGAGTAGCACAAGGCTAATATTGGATCCAGCCGTTGAAAAGAATCCGTCGAGAGACCCTGATCCTCTCTCTGCCTGCTTTTGTTTTTCCCAGCCGACTTTCTTCTTTCCGTCCGCTTCTCATCGACAACACGGCCAACGCACCAAGTCAGTCAGCCAACGGCATCGCCTATACCCGACGCTGGACCAACACCGGATACAATGTTGCTCAACGGCGGCGGCCGCCGCCTACGCATCTTTCTGCTGACCGTTATCGGCCTGCTCGGCGTCATTTTCCTCTGGGCCACCAGTGCTACGGACAGCACCCAGCTGAAGGAAGCCGTAGCGTCATGGCCGGCCGCAGTGGCATCGCATTTTGCATTTGATGGAGGCGGAAGCCAAGACGGGGACGTCGGCGGCGGCCGGAAATACGACGAACCAGTACCGCCACCATCCGCACTGCCGCCAACGGGCGACAGCCATGACGCGGGCGTATCATCAATGGGGGCGACCGGCGCACCCTACTTTGTCCTCATTGGGGACTCGACCACCTGCGGCCAGGCGAAGGGAGGCGGCGGCTGGGGCGATGCCTTTTTGTGGCAGCTGGCCCGCGGCGCCCAAGGCGTCAACTATGGCGTCAACGGTGCGCTATCCACCGGCTACTTCCACTCGCCCATTTGGAATGCCGCCATGCAGGAGGTCCGCACCAATGCACTCGCCCGGCCCGTCTACGTCACCGTCCAGTTTGGTCACAACGACCAGAACCCCAACAGCAACGTCACCCTCGACATGTACCAGGACACCCTGGTGGGCATGGCCCGCGAGGTCTTGGAGGCCGGCGGCACGCCCTTCCTCGTCACGCCGCTCGCCCGCCGCGACTTTGACCTGGACGAGACAACCGCCATCGACAACCTCAAGGACTACCGCGAGCGCACCCTGCAAGCGCATGCCGTCCTCCAAGGCGACGAGGCCAGCAAGAAGGCGCGGGCCATCAACCTCAACGCCGCCAGCCTCGCCTACATTGGCGCCATTGGCAAGACCGCCGCCTTCCGCTACAACAAGTGGCACCCCTTCCTCAACGACACCACCCACCTCAACGAGCTCGGCGCCACCGTTTTTGCGCGCATTGTGGCTGACCTGATGCTGGGCCACCCGGCGGCCCTCGTGCCTTCCGGCGAGCGGGATCCCTGGGCACCCGGTGCGGGCAACGACGACGGCGGCCTGTCGGGCTGGATCCGTCCGGATCCGTACATGACGGGCCTTGTCTGGCACGGCGATGCCATTTAGGCCGCTCACACGACTGTCTCACTTTCTGTTTCGTCCATTTCTTTTTTTTGTATCAGCGTCACCTTTCGGCTGTTTTCGGCGTTGTATGGACCAGGTCAAAAGTATGACCTGTCCCGGGAACCGTTTCATTTAATTTTGTCTGCTGGGCTTCATTTTGGGATAATACGACTTGGGATGTCATAGACTAGACACGGCTTTTGCTAGTGGGGCCAACATTGTCATAATTGCACAGTTCTTTTTTTGCAGTGTTTTTGGTGTCATTACCAGCATTTTATCGCAATGTTCTCTGTCAGAGCGTCTTGGTCATCAGATGTGTCATTTTCTTGTTATATACATTGCGCTATGGGTTTACCCGTCCCGGTAGATGGCCGACCCAAGTCTCTAATCTCGGTTTCGGTTGCTCGACCACCGCCGCACCATGACCTCCCGGATGCGGTACTGTCCCAACAGCGCCGATATGTCTCTAATGTCGTCCATCGCGCCGTTCGCGCCCCCCGTCGCCGATGACGGCGGTGGCACGTCCACGTACACCAGCACCAAGCTCTTAAACACCGTCGACAGCACCCGGTTCACGCTGTGCAGCCAGTGCCAGGATGGCGCAGGAGCCGCCGGCCGGTCCGCCGCCGCCCACCGGCCGTACGACGGAAGCACCATGACGCCAAATTCGGCATGGTCGAGCGCGGGGCCTTTGCCGTACAGCATCCAGTCGACGCCGAACTTGATGCCGTGGCGCGGGACCCAGCCGAGCGACCGGAAATGGTGGTAGACGGCATAGTGGAGGAGGAAGGGGTCGGTCGCGGTCGGTAGATGTGAGGGAGGAGGAGGAGGAGGAGTTGACGACGACGACAACGACGTGGCCGCTGCCCGGCACAGCGCCAGCAGCTGTGGCGTCGACAGCACGCGTCCCGTGGCCGGGTCCATGACGCGCAGGGCGCCCACGCCGTACGCTAGAAAGAAGGCTTCTTCGGGCGACAGCTGGAGGTGTTCCTTGTTGGGAATGTCGGCCGCCGTCGTTGTCAGAGTTGTCAGAGTTGTGGGCACCACCGGCGTCGTCGACTTGGCCACGCCGTTTGCATTGTGGTTCGGGCTCGGCGGGTCCGAGTGCAAAAACGTTGTGGACTCGACGGTCGGCGAGAAGCGCACGCTCTTTTGCCGCTTGAGCGGTTCAACCGGAACGCTGTCGGTCGGTGGCTTGGCCGTGGTGGCTGTGGTGGCCGTGCCGTTGGTGCGGCTATGCGACTCTTCCCCCCTATCCGATGTCCCGTTGGCAACAAGATCCTGCAGTGCGGCGCTGCCGTTTACGTCGGACTTAGGTACGGCTGCGGCCATGGCATGGCTCACTTTGCGCAGCTCAGCCTCGGAGTTGGGCAACGCCAGAAGCTCCAGAGGACCGACTGGAGGCTTTTGCTTTGAACCAGCGGCTGGCGCCAGTGGCGATGGCGGTGGAGATGGCAGCTGTGCAGCTGATGGCGCCACAGTGGCAAGTGCGTTGACACGCCCGTTGGCATGCCCATTGAGTGGGCTGTCTGCTTCGTTTACGCCTTGCGCCTCCGCGGCCTCTTCGTCCCGTCGTCGCTGCTCAATGGCCTCCCACTCCGTCCGCCCGCGCTCCCACTTTGTGTCGGCACGCTCTTCGCGCCGTTTGTTCGTGCGCTGCTCACTCGTCGTCGTCACGGTGTGGACACCGGCGCCGGCGGCCGCGTCGGCAGATGCGGCATGGATCGCCGCGGCCCGCCGGGCCTTTTCGCGGTTGAGCCAGTTGGGCTCGCTGCGGCTCAGGGAGCCTTTCCCGTAGAACCCCTGGCACCACAAGTCGTTCATAGACTGGGGGTCCGTGACGTGCACAGAGCGCGTCGCGGCCGACCAGAGGCCCTCGTGGACGGTGGCCGGTTCGGCCGCCGGAGGAAGCAAGGCCTGCCACACCCAAGCAAGCACCAGGTGCACAAGAGACAGGGGGTTGTTGGGATAGAAGGTGGGCAGGGGGAATGTGCGGAGAGGGAGCGGCAGGCTGTATTTCTGCCGCGGGGTGCCGGTGGCCCGTGGTTTGGGTGGTTTGGGTGGTTTTGGTTGTGATGACGCAGTGGAGGTGGTGGCGCCAATAGTAGATGGTGATGCTGTTTCTGCCGTCGAGGGCTTCAAGGCGGCTGCAGCCGGCGCGTCAGGCGGCCCGCCATTGCTGCTGCTGCTGCTGCTCGCTGTTCCCGATAGCGGTGGCTCTGTGGATTCAGCCATATTGTTCCTTATTCATGTCGAGACTTTTGTTGTGTCAGCTGGGGCCCAAGAATGAGGAAAACCCAAACAATAAAATTATCAAAGACATGGTTGTACAGTTCGCTCAGATACCGTTGTAGTCTATAAGGTTAAGCAATCACGGAGAGCATGATGATTGCTCTCTATGCACCAAATAATTTGTCATCACCGCGAAGAGGAAAGGGAAGCTGCCATTTATGTGGGAAATAAAAAAGAATAAAAAAAAAGAATAAAGGGCAAGTAAAGAACCACTTGGTCAGGTTGCCCAAAGCAGAGTTGCGCCGAGAGGACGCTCAAAATCAAGACACTCAACCGAGTGCTCTGTTGCCCGCGACAGGAACAAAAATGCAGCAAACCCATTATCAACATACTCTGAGGGATATTCCACCCGATTTGGTGCTCGACGCATCAGCGCGGCCATTCAAGGGGAGCTGCCAGGGACCGCATAGGTCATCGTGTGCCGTGGGAAAGAAAGAAAAGAGTGCAAAGAAGCAATGCAAGTGGCACGGCACAGAACAAATGCTATTGGAAAGTCATGGTGGTGGGTGTGGGCGGCTTCGAAATGTGTCAGGAGAGAGGAAACGGAAGAAGAATTGATAGGAAGAAATTTTTGGCGCTTTGCCGACTTGAAGGGACAGTCAAATAAGCGAGTTAGAGCTATGTCTCCTTAATAGGTGCATATATGCATATATCGCGATGCCGCATGCTACTAAAGTAGTTAACTCGTTGGAGCTCTCCGAGCTGCCGACCAGGCTGACAGCTACCCCACTAGACAGGGCAAGGCAAGCACCAGCGACAACCTCCTCCTAGAAGCTGAACTCGCCAATTACGGCAAACTTTTGTTTTGTCCGGACTTCCAGAGCCACTGCTACGAACCTTGTTATGTTTTGATTTACTGGGAATCAAGGTCATATTTGACTTTTATCCCAATACCATCTAACTTTGTCCCACGTTCTGCCAAACTTGAAGCTCATCAGACGACCTCGTCCGATCATTGCAGACTCTCCGTTTGACATCAAACACACTCTTTCTTCTTCTGTTTCCACTTCCTTTTCCTTTTCCATATTCTCTTCTCTTCTCCTCTCTTCTCTTCTCTTTTCATAGCATCGCATTTAACCATCACCATGTCCGCTACAACTCTCTACGACCAGGGCCTCAAGGCAGCCGAACGCAAGGACTTTGCCGCCGCCGTGCCGCTGCTCACCCGCGCCATCGAGGCCAGCGGCGCCACCCACCCCAACCCGGCCTGGCTGCTGACTCGTGCCCGGGCCGAGATGGGCATACAGGCCTACCAGGACGCCCTGGACGACGCCGACCGTGCGTACCAGAGCGCGCTGACGCGCCAGAGCGCACAAAGCGCCCGCTGGCTCGTGCAGGCGCAGTACCGGCGGGCCGTGGCGCTGGCGGCGCTGAAGCGGTATGCCGACGCGGACGCGTGCTGCGTGTGGTCGCAGCAGCTGGCGGAGGGCAAGAAGTTCCGGTCGACGGGCGGCGGCAACGGCAACGACAACGACGGCCAAGACGACCCGGACGATGTGCGGCGCAACGTGGACAGCGAGGGGCGGTACCAGGCGACGCCGGCGGACCTGCCCAAGACGCTGACACACAATCCGGGCCACAGCGCAGGGAGCGCCACCGCCACGGCCGCCACGGCCGGCGGGGGCAACACGCTGGCGGGGGTGCTGGGGCAGGCGAACAGCAACGACAGCACAAAGGCCGACTGGACGCAGGCGTACATGTGGCGGGGCGTGGTGCTGCGGGAGCTGCAGAAGCTGCCGCTGGAGGACCCGGGGCGCAAGATTACGGTGTCGCGGGTGCCGGCGCTGCCCAAGAAGCGGGCGGCCAGCGCCACGGCGACGCCGACACCTTTATCACCCGCCGTCGCAGCCACCACGACGACGCCCACGGCGTCTACTGCGTCCACCGCGCCCACGCCCACGCCCACGCCGTCCCCCCCCAAACTCCGTGTCGACATGTACCAGACGCCGTCCACGGTCAACCTCACGCTGTACGCCAAGGGCGTCGATGCCGCGGCGCTGCAGGTCACGGCGACCAGCGCCACACACATCCAACTGGCGCGTCTGCCGGCGGCCGTGGCGGGCCCCGCGCAGACGGTGACGCTCGCACTGGCGGGGGCGATTGCCGCGGACGCAGGGGCGGTGGAGACGCGGGTCACGCCGTACAAGATTGAGCTCAAGGTGACCAAGGCGACGGCGGGCGAGAAATGGGGCCACTGGGGCGAGCAGGTGCAGGGGGCGGGGGGGAGGCAGCCAGCGGTGCGAAGGAGGCCAAGGCGAATGTGGTGCCGGCGGAGACGGCAGCTCCAGCCACAGCCGCGGCGACAGCCACAACCACAACCACCGCCACGGCCACAGCCACGGCCACATCCACAACAACCTCTGGCCCTGCGTACCCGACGAGCGCCAAGTCGGGCCCCAAGAACTGGGACAAGGTGGCCGACGACGACGACGACGACGCGGCCAATGCCAACGTCGACGACTTCTTCAAGAAGCTGTACGCGGGCAGCACGCCCGAGCAGCAGCGGGCGATGATGAAGAGCTTCACAGAGAGCAACGGCACGTCGCTGAGCACGGACTGGTCGACGGTAGGCAAGGGGCCTGTGGCGGTGGTGCCGCCGGATGGTGTGGAGGCGAAGAAGTGGTAGTTGTCTGCGTGAATCTGCGTGAGGAGAGCTCGGCCGCAGCAAGCGTGTTTCCGGCGTTGTACGGCGCAGCACAAAGTGTTTGTGTTTATTCGAAAAAAGTACTGATTATTCCCGAGTGTAGTTACTCTATATCTATGATAAACTATTTCGCTTTATTGTATTGTGTTCGGCAAATGGCCATACGTTGAAAATATAAATGTGAATGTGAGGAGACATGCGCCTGAAATGCACCGCCGGTTGACGCCGGTTCCGCCGCAGACGTAAGATGTATCGTCCGATCCGATCGTATCCAGTCACTATGCTACGCTTTTACTTTTTAGTTTTTTTTTTTTTTTTTTTTTTTTTTTCTCTTTTTTCCATTGCCTTCTTGTCCTCAACGTCCCAACTAGTCCACTCTCGCCTTTGCACTGGCTTTGCCGTTGGTGGACGCCACGTCCGCCGGCGCCGCCGCCTTGGTCTTGCTGGCCTGGAGCGCCGCCACGCCCTGTGTCCGCGGCTCCCGCACGACCCGGCAGCCCTGGTCGTCCAGCTCGTCCACGCTCATGTCCATGCGCACGTGGAACTGCTTGCCGCGCCAGGCCACGGTGGCGCCCAGCAGGACGGCATAGGTCCAGATGGGCAGGGCCAGCAGCTCGCGGCCGAGCCAGGCGCGGGCCCACGCGAAAAAGGGCCGGCGGGGCAGGCCGGCGGAGCCAGAGTCAGTGCCCGAGCCAGTACCCGAGCCAGAGTGACGGCGGCCCTTGGCAAACGCGGGCGTGTCGGCGTCCCACGCGACGCACCAGCACGCCTGCAGGCGGCGGTAGGTGCACCAGTCGGCGGCCATCCAGAGGGCGACGAGGACGCACCAGCAGCGGGCCATGGCGGCCCACGTGGGCGGCGGCAGCCAGGCGGCGAGGGCGGCGGGGGCGACGGGCCCCAGCAGGCGCTGGCCCCAGGTGGTGAGGGCAAACGACCCATAGCACGCGCACAGCAGGGACTCGACGCCGGGCTCGACGAGGGTGGCGAGCAGGACGGTCCACTTGCGGACGCGCAGCCAGCGGACGCGGCGGGCGGCGTAGGCGCGGACGGGGACGTCGGCCATGGGCTGGATGGCGAGGTCGCCGGTGGCGAGGCCGTGGTTCCGAAAGGGCACGCCGGCCGGGGTGGCGAGGGGCGAGCGCCACAGGAGGTCGCCGATGAGGTGGTCCTCGCAGATGTAGGACGAGAAAAAGTCGACGCCGCGGCCGCGGCGGCCGTCGGCGGCGCGCAGGACGGCCGGGTTCTGGGCCGGGTCGGTCAGGGCGTCGAGGTGGGCCTTGCGGAACATGTTGCTCTTGCCGACGATGCAGGGGGCGATGCCGACGGTGTTGATGGCCGAGTAGAACTTGGCGTGCGACGTGGCCATGAACATTTCGTCGAGCGCCGCCCCGATTTCCTTCCCGGCACCTGGCCGCCCGCTTGTACCAATGTCGACGACCAGCGGCAGCTGGTGCACAAACTTGTAGGGCGTCTGCTGCGGCGTGCCGTCCGGACCGAGCCCCAGCAGCCGGTCCACCATGCGGCCGGCCACGCCCGGCGCCACCCACACGTTGCAGTCGACGATCCACACGACGCCGTCGGCCGGCGCCTCCCGGTAGGCCCGGCTGATGTTGCGGATCTTGGGGTTCGGGCCCAGGTTGCGCACGTGCCCCGCGGCGCCGTGCAGCAGGGGATCCTCTTCCTCGACAAAGACGCGCACGTCCGCGCCGGGAAAGTCGCGGACGACGTGCTCAAACACGGAAAACGCCGGGTCCGTCCGCGACTCGACGCACAGGTGCACGGACAGACGGTCGCGCGGGTACGTCTGGCGGCAGGTCGAGGCGAGGCATTCGTAGAGGCCGGGCTCCAGGCCCTTGGTGGGGCGGATCACGGTGACGTGGGGGACGGCGGCATGGTCGGCCAAGGCCTCGACGGCGGCCCGGCGGGGGGGGCCGAGTAGTGGCGGAAGCTGGATGAGGGGGCGGGGGGGCGTTAGCGGACGTGACGGGAGACAAACAGGCGACGAAACAGTCGACGTAACAGGCGGCGGCACCACGGCGCGGCTTACAGCTGAAAGATGCCAATGCCTTGGACGACAAAGACGACGGCGGTCCAGACGCCCCAGACGGCAGCAAGCGCCTGCGTCACGAGGTCGAACATGGCATTGTCGGGAGCGCAGCCGACGAGTTGTAGGAGGCGGAGGTCGGGGCGTGTGGGGAGTGAGGAGTGTGAGGAGTGAGAGGAGTGTGACGTTGCGAGAGGAAGAGACCGCGGCCGAGCTCGAGATGAGGTCGGCAGTTGGGTCGAGCTCCGGCTTGGCGGTCCACGTATGGTTGTGCGACGGGCGGTGGGAGAAAGGAGACCGCGGTCGTGGTGGTTTTGTGGTCGCGAGGGCGCCTTGGGGTGGCCGAGGTCGGGGTGGAGGTCAAGGTCGAGGTCGAGGTGAAGATTGAGGTGAAGATCAAGGACGGTAGAGGACGGTCGAGGCGACGATGCGACTGCGCAAAACGGTAATTTTGGAAGAAACCGAAAAATGACAAAAAGGGCAAGCGCAACGGACAGGTCTAGGGCGCGACGGCGGAAAGGACAGGCAGGGAAGGAACGACGGGCAAACGGGCAGCCACCAAGGCAAGATCACATAAGTGCATAAAATACAGAAGACGTCGACCGGAGCGAAGGAGAGACGCCGAAGCATCCGGGCGGGATTGTCGTGGACTTCGGTGGTTTTTTTGGGTTTTCTGGGTTTTTTGGTTTTTCCTTCTTTTTTGTACTTCTTTTGTGGTTCCTGGTTTGTTTGCTGGCTCCTTGTCCCGCCCCAAATCTCACCGTTGCGCCTGGACGGCGTCAGGGGCACGGACATTGGCGGCTCCCACAGGCCCACAGGCCCACAGGTAGGAATTACAGGACAGGTAATTACTTAACAGGCCTGAGGCGACCGCCGATCAGGCGCTGGGGTGTCCCCCCCCCCCCCCCCGGCTGTATTCGCACTGAGCGGACTGATACAGCATATTATGGGGCTGTGTGGCCTGTAATTACAACATATTTTGACAGTCCTCGTTCCTGTTCTCAACCCTGCATCCCTGTCCCACGTTTTTAAATCGCCGGCTGCCTCCGGGGTAAGCGGTTGAGAAGGACAACATAATACACAGTCGTGATTCAAATGAAGGAAAGGCATGAACACGGCAAGGAAAGGGGAAAGGCGCATCTTATTGTGACGGACTGCTTCAGTGTACTTTACTGCACTGCTCAGGGCGTTAGTGCTACAGGGCGTCGCTGTCAGGCACGCTACGCCAAGGCCTGCAACGATCCGTGTAAGTCTGTTACCAGAAGCAGTAATCAGCTTTGTGTTGTCCTCTTTATCCTTTTCTTCTTCTTATTCGGGTTACTCAGAGTCGACGCGTAAAACTCGTCTCTTGTTCGTATTCATTTCATTTTCGTATCCGTTTGTGTACATAATTTTCTACTTATGGTCCATGTGAAATAACCTCTCTTCTTTGAAATAAACCTCTCTTCATTTGCTTTTCTCTCTTCCTCTTCTTTCCTCATCTTCCTCTCCACGAGCACACGGGACAGGCTACATGTCTCAGTCTGTCTCAGTCTGTCCCTCCCGTCGTTCCTGGTGTGCCTTGCAGCCGTCCCACGCGGACATCCATCCAGGGCTTGTCGCGAGAAAGAGGGTGTCACACCAGGCTGGCGTTCACGTGGTCCACCCTTTCCATCACCACATGTGCATCGCAGCCTTGGAGGGTGACCATCCATCACCTGCGCAAGGCTGGAGGTCCGGCGATGTGCAATAAATGCGATGTAGCAAGTTGTTTAGCAAGTTGTTTATTTTGATTTATAAAGTCCATCCCCCACTGTGTCCGCGATAGTCTGTTATGTTCTCTCCTGCTCGTATTTGCGTAGGGCCATTCATTTGAATATAATTATATTGTCTCCTATTGTCTCCAGCGCAATCGTCTCCATCGGAGTACACATTGTTGTACATTGCAGTGCATCAGACCGCTTGCTACGAAATGCCCGGCTCGTTGCGGGACCGTCACCGCGACAGGGAGGATAACGGAAACGACAGCAACGACAGCAACATCGAGCACATCATTCGCCGAGTGCTCGCCCTGGCTCTTCACAAGTTTGACAACGGGGGCGACACGAATCGAGAGAGCAGCCGAGACGATCGACCGCCAGCCGACCGCGGCGCCGGCGACAGCGACCTCGCCAAACTCGTGCTCGGCCAGGTGGTCCAGTTTGGCATCCGGCGGTACCTCAAAAGCCGCGAAAAGAAGCGGGCCACGGCAGCCAAAGCCACGTCCAAGGCGAACATGAGGATACCGAGATTCAGCCTGCCGGGGGCGCAGCCCGGAAGTCCACCGGGGCCCGTGCAGGCGGACAGAGGACTTGCCGAGAGAGGACTGCGTGAGGGCAACTTCGACGGAGGTCCGAACCAATACTATCCTCTACAACAACAGCAGCAACACCCATATCCTCCCCCACCGCACCAGCACCACCGCCGCCGCGACGACTTGGAAGACCGCCGGTACGAGCGCCGCGAGCGGTATGAACGGCGACTCGAGCGGGAGCGTCTGGAACAGCTGGAGCGCGAGCGGCTGCGAGGGGGTGACCGTCCTGGTCGTTCGGAAGGGATGCACCAGACACGGCATCCTCACCAGTCGCCCTCAGATCGCGCCCCATCCTCTGAACAGCCACGGCTGCGACGGGTTCCACGGACGCCTCTTCCAAAGAGCTATCCGACCTCGTCGTTTCCAGAGGCAAGAGAGCCTTTGAGAGATTGGGGCGAACAGGGGGAAGAACAGCAGCAGCAGCAGCAGCAGCAGCAGCAGCAGCCACCATCACAGCCCCCGCGAGACGTTGCCCGCGAGCAGAGGGCGTACCAGAGACGGCAAGAGTCGTTTGGTGCGACGCCGCGACCGTTTCCCGCAGATCTGCTTGGAAGCGGTCCTGGTCCCGGTCGCGGCGGCCGATACAGATATGCGAGGCTGCCATCACAAGTAGACGACGATGCCGTCCCGCACCCGCACCCGCACCCGCCACCTCCGCCACAGCCCTTTTCCTGGGAGTCGGTGCCCATCTACCCGCCGCCCGCTCCGAGGGCGACCAAAAGACAAGCGCCCGAGTCCCGGCCAGCAGCCGCCCGCCCCGCCGACCTGCCCACGCCGCCCATCTCGCCCCAAAAGACACCGGCCGCCACCGACAGGCAGGCGGCGCCCGCCGACGTCCACGCCCATGTGCGCCGTGCGCTCGACGACCTGCTGGTGCAGCTCCGCCGGACGGACAGCGTCGTCTACCGCGCCATGTACCGGCCGCCCGTCGTCGGGGACCACCATCGCCTCCACCGGCACCACCATCACAGCCACGAGCGAGGCCAGTTGCTCTTCCACGCAGCCGATCTGCAGCGGTCGATTGCACAAACCAAGGCCGAGATACGGGGTCTGCAGGGTGTCCTGGGCATGGCGAGCAGAGACGGGCCAGAAAGGGGCGGGCCAGAAGGGGACGAGCCCGACGGAAGACGAGAGGGGCGAGACAGGGGGAAAGAGGCGAGAAGAGGACGGGAGCAGGGACGAGACCAGGGACGAGACAAGAGACGAGAGAAGCAGGTGACGATGCAAGTGCCCGGTGAGAAAGGAACAGATGGGCAGTGACAGACTGTGATTTGCTGCTACATGTAGACCATCAAACAACGAATGCTGCTCCTATGCTGTGTCCTTGCCTGTGTACTTTATATTGTGCTCGCTCGTTTTGTATATGCTTCCTGCTTGTTCCTCGCCTTGTCTGCCAGCTTCGTTCCGACCAGAGTCTCATATCGTCCCCAGTGATAGGACGAGTACATCCATATGTGTCGTTAGGGCTTCAGGCATCGACTCCGGCGAGTAATTCAGTGGCTTCAGCGCGCTTAGCACTGCTGATTATTCTGCGTCTCCGGAAAGAGCAGAGTATTAAACCATAGTGTGGACGGTATTGCCGCTGAAAGGCGATACATTCCGACATTATTCGCAGCAAAAAGGACAGTGACGACAGACTGCAAAAGTATTTTCTAAATTAATCCAGCGTTGACATAAACATCTACGTGAATTCGTGAGGGTTAATTGTAAGCGATGATTCACGCCAAAGCCGACGGCTGCCTTCCTAAAACGGAGCCCCGCGGAGGATCAACATGACGGGTCATGCCTTCTTTCTGGGCGGCCATTGAGGAACAAAAACATAACGGAAAGAAAACAAAAAAAAGAACAAAAAAAGACAAAAAATACTTCACAACACAAACAACCACCTCGTCCCACACCATCACACCTCTCCTCATGACCATCGCGGCCACCTGCCACTGCGGCCGTGTCCGCATCGTCGCCCCCGGCCCGCCCGACTACCGCAACGAGTGCTCCTGCTCCGTCTGCTACAAGTACGGCGCCCTCTGGGCCTACTACAAGACCGCCAGCGTCACCATTGAAGTCGAGGGCCAGCCGTCCGTGTCGGCCGCCGCGCCCGCCGCCCAGTCGGCCGAGCCGCTGCCGGGGCTGGCGGCGTATGTGCGCGCCGACGACGGCGGCACGCGGTCGAGCCTGGCGTTTGTGCGGTGTGCGCACTGCGGGTGCATGACGCACTGGACGTGCATTGCGGGCGAGGCGAGCGACGACCACGAGACGATTGGGGTGAACAGCCGGCTGATGGAGGAGCGGGCGCTGGTGGGTGTGGAGCGGCGGCAGTCGCCGGGGCCGGCGTGAGGGAGAGGAGCTGAGAGAGTAGCTGAGAGAGTAGCTGCGAAGCGGCTACTCTCTGTGTATACTGCTACTGAGAAGTTTTGTAGTACTTGGGCTACGACGATGGCGAGGACAGCGACGACGGCGACGACGGCGACGACGGCGACGGCGGCGGTGTTGACAATAGCATGGAGTACGTTGGTAGCTTGGATGTACGTAACAAATTGACTTATGAAAACCCTCACCCCCTACAGAGTCACCACCACCTTGGCCGCCGACACGCCAGCCTTGACCAGATCCAGGCCGCCCTGCAGCGCCTCCAGTCCGTGGCCCACAATCCGCGGCGCCGGCGCCACCTGGTACGTCCCGGCCTCGAGCGCGCGGGGGAGGAAGCCGTCCGGGCCCAGGAACGGCCGCGTAAACGCCGGGTCCTCGTGCACGCCTTCAATAAACTTGCCCTCGACGCCCGCCGGCACGCCCTCGGGCGGCATCTCCATGGTCAGGGCCAAGAACGGCCGCGCCTGGCCGCGGACGACGTCGGCGCAGGCCGCAAGGATGCCGGCAAACGCGGCGCGCTGGGTGCCGCCGTTGCAAAACGCGCCGACCACGGTCTTGCCCGCGGCGGCGGCCCGGATGTCGTCGACCACGGTCGGCGAGCGGTAGTCGAAGACGTGCGCGGCGCCGAGCGCCCTGGCCGCGGCGAACCGCGCCGGCGAGGCCGTCGTAATCACCTCGTAGCCGGCCCGCGCGGCCAGCTGCACGGCCTGGCTGCCGACGCTGGTGGACGCGCCCCAGACGAGGACGACCTGGGGCGGCGTGGTGGCAGGGGGAGGACCTGTCGGCGACCCCGTCGGCGACCCCGTCGGCGACCCCGTCGGCCACGGCGTCCTCAAGTTCAGGTACGTCGGGTGGAACAGCCCAAACAGGGCCACCACGACGCCCATCGGCAGCGACGCCGCCGCCGCAAACGGCACCGCCGCCGGCACCCGGTACGCCATGTGCGCCGCCAGCACCACCCGCTCCTGGAAGCCCGCCCGCAGGCTCAGTCCGGCCACGCGGTCCCCCATCGCAAACGGCGCGCCCGCGCCGGCCTCCTCGACGACGCCCGCCACGTCCTCGCCAAAGACGGCCGGGAACGACAGAAACGAAAAGACGGCCGCGCCGTACGTCTGCATGGCAGCGTCAAACGGGTTGACGGCGACGGCGGCGGTCCTGATGATGACCGTGCCCGCGGCCGGCGGCGACGCGGGGCCGGCCATGTCCTGGACGACGAGGGGGTTGCCGGCGGCCGTGCACACGGCGGCCTTCATTGCGGATCGGTGTGGGGGTGAAGTTGTGTAATGGTAAGTGGTATTTGGGTGAGTGGTAAGTGGTGCTTGGGTGATGTAGTGACTCTGAATGGGACAGGGGCAACGACTTTATAGGAAAAGAACAGACGAGAGGAGGTGGAAGGACAGTAGTACAAACAATGCATGTGCCGTCCTTTTCAGGAGGTGTACTCTTCCCATGTTTCCTTCTACGTATGTTGTACTCCTCGAGTTGTTCTGTACCCTGGCCGTATTGGAGCTGTGCATTATCCTAGGCTTCTGACTGTAGCACATTCTACATCACGCCTTACGTATTCCCAACCAGAACTCCGTCCCGGAAGGACGAGCGGCCGCTACGGAGGCAGCGGGTGCCGATGCGGAATTGGCAGTCTTTGATTTCCGGTCCAATGCCGGCCATTCCGGAGGTAAGCAAGTGAGTCGGCCATAGCAGAAGAGACTCATGTCATAAGTCCGTACACGACAAAGATGGTATATTACAAACAATATAAATAAATGGACTAGACAATGAAGGAAAGAAAGACAAAGATCAAATAACAGACCTCTGATGAATCATGGTAAAACAAAATAAGAAAGAATTATGGGATACGGAGAACGGAGTATTTCTTCAGCAAGGAATGCATCCCACTTGGTATAGAGTTTCTGTGGGCCTGCAATTCTTTCTGTAAAGAGACTTACGAGTACAACATGAGAATCAATACAGACACATGGCAATAAGTCGTATACCCCGTGAAGGCATCGTCATAAGGCGACTCAAATGAGGCTATTCTGTAATGTAAGGATGGAAGGCCGTCACGATTAGCACCCGCCGCTAACCAAGACCCCCAACGGCAACGGAGGTTTAACCCCGCTCTCCCCGAAAGGCCCCTAAAACCATGAGCTCCAGTGCCCACCAGGTGTCCGCCAGTGCCCCAAGCAAGTTGGGACGCTACGCTGATACGCCACGACGTCAGGTGCCCAGGCGGCCACTGTTGCTGCTCGTGCGGGTCCGTTTAGGGCCTTGGTGCTGCCCGTGTGGCTGGCCCAGAGCCCCTCCTTTTCTGAGATTGCATCTCGCAGCCTTCCCCTGTCAACATCGCCCTTCCCACCACCACAACACGAGCATCTCTAGCCCACCGCCCACCACGACTTGGCCCGAGACACACGCGGACACACGGACACACGGACACGTCCTGCATGTCGACGCACGAGAGCACGCGCTCCGAGTCAAAACCGACTGTCCTCGCAGAGGAAGATGCGAGCGGCCCGCGCCGCGTAGAGAGCATGGAGAAGGAGGAGACGGGTGTCGACGGTGTCGAGGGAGTCGAGGGAGTCGGATCCGGAGCTGTAGAAGCATCGGGAGCTGTGCCAGCAGCAACAGAGCCGGCAGAGTCGGCAGAGTCGGCAGAACCCACAGACACCGAACCAGCACCAAAACCGTTTGACCCCTTTGACGATCCCGAAGGACTGGGCGATGATGACAATGATGACGACAACCACGACAACGACCACAACATTGAAGCCTCCGTCGCCACGCTCAAGCCGCCGCGGACACCCCTCGCCGGCCTGTCGCTGGCCCCCTCGTCGGCGACCTCGACCTACATCGACCCCACGCCCGCCACGCCCATGACCTCCCACCCGCCGTCGCGGTCGACGTCCCATGCCGCGTCCCAGCGCTCGCCTCAGCGCTCGCCACCGCGGTCACCCACGCGGTCACCCACGCAGTCCGAGGCGGCCGACACCGACGGCGAGGACCGTCGGTACCTCAGCGACGACGACGCCGGCCATCCCGGTGGCGCCGCGACGCGCCGCTCCGAGATCCAGACCATTATGGAGCAGTTCAGCGGCGACGGCGGCGGGCCCGGCGAAGACGAGGTCATGAGCCCGCGGCTCGAGATTGCGGCGCCCATGCTGGCGCCTCCGCTGTCGGTGTCGTCGGCGGCCGCAGCAGGCGGCGTTGGCGTGGGCGTTGGCGTGGGCGTTGGCGGCAGCCACCCGCCGCGCAAGTCGAGCCTGGAACCGCTGGCGCCGGGGCTGGCGCAGCACATCAAAGAGAGCGTGAAGGCGATGCCGGGCGACGGGGGGGCGGAGGAGGGGGCGGAGGAGGGTGGCGAGGACGGGGAGGCCAGCGCGACAACGAGCGGCGGAGGCATCGACAAGGGCAAGGGCGAGGACCGCGGACCGCCGGTGCCGCCCAAGGACAGCGAGGACAGCATGGACGGCACCATGGAGGGTGCGGAGGCACGGGCCACCTCCGACAACAACGGCCCCATGTCCCCCACCGTGTCGCTCCACCGTCCACCGCCGCCGGCCCCCGAGCCCGAGCCGAGCCTGCCCTTTGACTTCCACCGCTTCCTCGAGCAGCTGCGGCACAAAAAGGCCGACCCGGTCGCGCGCTATCTCAAGTCGTTTCTGGCCGAGTTTGCCAAGAAGCAGTGGATGGTGCACGAGCAGGTCAAGATCATCAGCGACTTTCTGGCCTTTATCGCCGACAAGATGGCCGTCTGCGAGGTCTGGCGCGACCTGTCGGACGCCGCGTTCGACAACGCCCGCGAGGGCATGGAGAAGCTCGTCATGAACCGCCTGTACTCGCAGACCTTCTCGCCGGCCATCCCGCCGCCCCAGCCCATCCCCGGCGCGCGGCCCAAGCGCCGCGGCGGCGAGCGGCCCATGGGGCCCGGGCGCCGCGGCCAGCACCAGGAAGACGTCGAGCGCGACGAGGTGCTGTCGCAGAAAATCACAATCTACGGCTGGGTGCGCGAGCGCCACCTCGACATTGCGCCCGTCGCGGCCGAAGAGAGCGGCCGGCGGTTCCTGCGCCTGGCCCAGCAGGAGCTGCTCAAGATCAAGACGTACCGCGCGCCGCGCGACAAGATCATCTGCGTGCTCAACTGCTGCAAGGTCATCTTCGGGCTCCTCAAGCACAACAAGGCCGACGAGTCCGCCGACGCCTTCATGCCCCTGCTCATCTACGTCGTGCTGCAGGCCAACCCGGACCACCTCGTGTCCAACGTCCAGTACATCCTGCGCTTCCGCCACCAGGACAAGCTGGCCGGCGAGGCCGGCTACTACCTGTCGTCGCTCATGGGCGCCGTCCAGTTTATCGAAAACATGGACCGCACCACCCTCACCATCACCGACGCCGAGTTCGAGGCCAACGTCGAGGCCGCCGTCTCTGCCATTGCCGAGAAGCACCGCGCGGCGTCGCCGCCGCTGCCCATTCCGCCCGAGGGCGACGGCGACGACGAAAAGACCGCGGGGCACAAGGCGGCCGGCGCTTCGTTGCAACCGGGCGACCCGTCGGGAGCGGGCCCGTCGGCACGCACGTCGGCCGATGTGGACCGGCCGAGGACGCCACGAACGGCGAGGCCACGGGAGGGGATCGAGGGAGGCGGTGACAAAGCAGACGCTGGAGATGGTGACGATGGAGATGCCGACGACGGAGATGCCGACGACGGCGAAAGAGACGCCATCACCGGTCTGCTGCGCACCATCCAGCGCCCGCTGAGCACGATTGGCCGCCTGTTTGCCGAGGACCCGGCGTCGCCGACCGACGGCGCCGCCCACCCACGCGGCCGGAGTCCGGGCCGAGACGCCGAGGGCGGCGACCCGGCCACTGCCACTGCCACGGCCACGGCCACGGCCACACGCAGGCAGGCCCTCTCCGCCGAAGAGGCCGCGGCGCGCCAGGCCAGCGCCGAGACCGCCGAGGCCCAGCGCCTGCACCGCGTCGAGCACGCCAACATTGTCGAGACGCTGGCCGGCATGTTTCCCGACCTGGACCGCGACATCATCAGCGACGTCGTCTACCAGAAGGAGGGGCGGTGCGTTTCCTTCTCCTCTCCGAGCCTCCCAGCGGCGTCACATTCGTTCGTCTCGCTAACAGTTCACTGACAATCTAGGGTCGGCCTTGCCGTGGACGCGTGTCTCGCGCTGTCGCAGTAATGATGTGGATTGCAATTTGTGTCGCTGTTTTCTCTCCAGTTTCCTCTCTGTCTCTCCGTCTCTCTCCAGCGAATACCATTGGCGGATGTTTGCCTTTTTACCGTCTACTCACATCACACCGCACTCCTTTTCCACCTGTTCCCGCCTCCACCAACACTACATTGCCTTGCACAATCTCTCACGATCCGTACCCCGTAGCCTGCATATAGAACGACAGCCTATTGGTACAATACAATAAAATCCATGTCGACAACGCCGCCACGGCACCCTCTAAAAATACCAGTCTATGCAGTTAGCAGGAGCACAGCAAAGCCGCAAAACACAGACTGCACGTACAGTAGGCGCCCACGGGCAGCGACAGCGGCAGCTCGTACGCCCAGTCCGTCTCGGGATCGTAGTCGCGGTGGTTGTGGCGGTTGTGGCCGTGGCTGTGGGCGTGCATGGAGACGGACGAGTCGGCGTCGCTCTCGCTCTCGCTCGCACTCTGGCTTTCCTTGTCCCCCGCGTCGTGCCTCGCCGCGACCGCCTTGCCTTTCTCCGCCGTCGCCAGCGACGTGTCGGACAGCAGCCCCAGGCGACGGAGTGTTGCTGAGGCGGCACCAACGGCGGCGGCCGCGACGGACGAGACGGACGCGACGGCTGACCGTCGGGTCGGAGACGTTGTCCGCGAGGCGGCTTCGGGGGGGGCGAGAACAGAAGACATGAGGTGATTATGGTGAATGGTGATTGGGTGATTGTTGATATTGACTGAAGCAGCTAGACTGCTGGACTACGAGCACTCACCAACCATTGTCATGGTTACCTCACCATCCCCTACACCCGTCTCGCCCTCTCCCTCGACGCTGACCCGACACACGGGGATCTGGGACGACTGTCAAAACCTGATACATGGGGCGGCCACCAGCCGTGCCACGCATGCGCCAAACAGACTTTGCTCGTGGCTTTATTTCTCCGTGATCGACCGTCGAACGGCAGATTGTGAAACAGACATGCCACTGATTGGATTAAAATATTCAGAAAAGAGCGAGATGTTCTCAAGAATTGAATAAAGGACAGAGAGCAACAGAGAGCGGCAGAAAGGACAGACAGATCTCTAGAGAGAGAACATCAACAAGATCGCCAAACAGGAGGCTGATGAGGCTCTATGAGGCTGCTTCAGACAGTCATCACTAGCTGCGTAAAGTATCATTGGAGCGTATGTACATAGGAGCTCTTGCGATGCTTACCGTCCGCAAATAGACCATGAACAGCATTGAATGGAATTGAACTGAATTGAACTGAATTGAATCTCATGTTGTTGCTTCAACTGAGATTATGTACAGTGTGTTATACGGTGCATGTAGCTCATCGTACTGTCTTAGTCATCTTTCACAGACGGGGTCCACTTTAGCCGTTCCCCTGCCACGGCGCGCCGCGTCTGCAAAATGCCATTCTAAAGCAGTCTCCAATCGCCGCAAAGGATCCATCGAGCAGCCTCGAGGTCCATCGACCAGCGCATCACGACCACGACCACAAAACGAAACACACCAGAGAAACAGCCGCACTGCCAGCCCGCCTGCTGACGGACACAACACGGCTGCCCACGATGGTGGAATACGGGAGGCGCTCTGGGCGCGCTGCAGCTCGACGCGCAGCAGCAGCTCTTGGTAGGTGAAGCACTGATCGTCGCTTTGAGGGCCGTCGACTGACAACACGCAGAGCGGACACCCAAGAACGTGGACCCGGCCGAAGACGAAGTCATGGCCGACGTGACCGCTGACGAGGCAGCCGACACCACACACAACGACGACGCACAAGACGACGCAGGAGACGACGCAAAAGACGACGCAAAAGACGACGCACACGACAAAGACGCACAGAACGGCGACAACGACAACCGGAACGGAAACGAAAACGAAAACACCAACAACGACACGGCCGACGAGGCCTCGGCCCCGGCATCGGGCGTCGCCTCGGCCGCCACCAAGTCGCCCGCGGCGTCGCCCGCGCCCGTCATGATGATCCGCCGCAAACGCCTCGGACGGCCGCCAAAGAACCGGCCGCCAGACTGGGACGGCATGGTCGAGGTGCCCATGAGCGAGAGCGAGATTGCCGCCGCACAGGCCGCCGCCCTCGCCAAGGAGCGCGGCGAGACGCTGACGCCCCGGCGACGCGGGCGCGGCGGCTGGCGGGGTCGTGGCGGGCGGAAGGGCGACCGCCAGGACGGGCACGGCGGACCGGGCGGTGGGCCGCTGCAGCAGGTGATTGACAAGGACGGTAACGTGGTCGACATTGTCAACGACGAGCTGGACCTGCCCGAGGACCCGGTGGGCGAGACCAAGGTCGACAAGGACGGCAACCTGCAGGGCGGGCGCGAGTACCGCTGCCGCACGTTTACGGTGGCGGGCCGCGGCTCGCGGCTGTACATGCTGTCGACGGAGCCGGCGCGCTGCGTCGGCTTCCGCGACTCGTACCTCTTCTTCACCAAGCACAAGCGCCTCTACAAGATCATTGTCGGCGACGACGAGAAGCGCGACATGATTGAGCGCGACATCATCCCCCACAGCTACAAGGGCCGCGCCATTGGCATCGTGACGGCGCGCTCCGTCTTCCGCGAGTTCGGCGCCCTGATTATCGTCGGCGGCCGCCGCGTCATCGACGACTACACGCTGGCCAACGAGGAGGAGGGCGCGCCGCCCGTCGTCGAGGGCGCCCTGGCCGACCCCAACGACATTGTCGTGCCCGGCGAGCCCTACAACAAGAACCAGTACGTGGCCTGGCACGGCGCGAGCGCCGTGTACCACGCGTCCGGCGGCGGCGGCGGCGGCGGACAGGGCGGCGGTGGCGGCCTTGTCGAGCGTGTCGGCGGCGGCGGGGCCGGCGGAGCCTCGGCGCACGCCCACACGCTCTACAAGGCCGCCGACGCCAAGCGGCGCCGCGTCGCCGTCAACGACTACAACTGGCAGCTCGAGCACGCCCGCGAGGCCAGCAGCTTCAACAGCATGCTGACGGCCGCGCGCGGCACCACGCTCGCGGGCGTCTACGACATCCACACCAACCTGGTGCAGTACCCGGCCAGCATGCAGCCCCAGCGGGCGCGGGCGGTCCTGGTGCAGGACGGCGCGGAAGCAGTTGCGGGCGACGGCGCGGACGCGGACGCGGACGCGACCACCGCCTTCCCGGCGCTGTCCCCGCTGGTCGCGCGCAACTTTTACGTCGCCGACATGCACCTCGAAACACCCCCCGCCGGCATCGCCCCGGCCGCCTACGACCGCTACCGCATCGACGACGACGGCGGCGGCAACAACAACAACGCTGTCGACAACAAACAGGCCGACTTGCTGGCCCCCTTCCAAGGCCTGGCGGCCGTGCCCGACGACATCCGCGCGCTGCTGCCCGCCGAGTGCCGTGCCGCCTTTGACGCCGCCGTCGACAAGGAGCAGGCGTGGTTTGGGCAGTGGGGCCCCGAGGCCACGAGCATGAGCCGCCGGGAGCCCGTCATTGACAAGGCCATTGTGCCGTACGCCATGACGTTGTAGGAGACGGTGGCGGCGGCGGCAAAGGGGGCCGTGGGCGGGAAGGCTGCGAGTGGCGGTGTGGAAAGAAGGTTATTTGCTTGATTTTTGGGACGGTGTATGAGGATCTGTTCTTTGTTGTGTCATTGACTTGCGCCAGGGATATGTTTTCGCTTTTATTTTTGCTATTGTTGATTTAGTCCGATCCACGTGTACAAGTACGGATGGGACATGGAGACCGGGCTTTAAAAGGGAGATACTCGATAATGCAGTAATCTGATTCGATAAATTACTTCATGTGCATTTTTGACGGTTTTATGTCGTTTACTTTCTCATTTGTCTTTTTTTGTAGTCCTTTTGACCTTTTGACTTTTGATTTATTTTGTGTTCCAACGTACTTTTTATCGAATTTTGTATCCTTTATTTGTCTGCCTTGAACGAAAAGTTGAGTCAGCTCCGACAAAATAAACAGATACTATTTTTTCCATCAAAATCACCGCGCCTGTCACCGTGTATGCTGTGAATCCGAACTTTGCTCTGTCAAAGAGGTGACGATGTTCGCACACAGTATCACGTGACGGCGTGATCTGGTTGTGTGTGGCCGACGCTGCCTACCACACGAGCAGCCAACAAACCAACAACCGCAAACAACACATCGCTTCACGACGGCTGGCGACGAATTTCTCTAGCAAAAATGGACCATTTGTTTTCCGGCGCCCTCTTTTCCTTATGACTTCCATATTTGCTAGCGGTCGCATCGCTCGCGACTTGCTTGATGCCAGGGGCATAAAACGTCTGCACATTTGAAAAAGTGCATCCATCACGAACGAGTCAACAGCATCCAGTCGTCTTGACGCGCAGCTGTCGTTCTGCACGGCCACATTCACGACGACCCAAGGGAGGCTGCACGCTTGACGAGCGGCCCAAGCAGTGAGCCGGCGCTCGTCTTTAAGCCGAGGCAGCGGCGGCTACTTCCTGCGCCGCTGTCTTGTCCTGCCGCTCAGGTTTTATTATTATTATTATTTTAAACAATGAATGGCCACACGCAAAATCCCCGGGGACAGCACTCTGCTGGAGATCGAGATAGCTATGAACGGCTGCACAACGACACTTTCACTCAGACGCAGACAGCAGCTGGTATCAAGACCTCGTCACCCACAAAACGAGCCTTTGCACCATGCCTGGATCACGACACGTCTGCACCTAAGAGAGCACGTCTACCAAGTCAAGTCGACAAAGACGACGCTATTTTCATACCGCCAACTGACCTACTAGAAACGCCCTTACACCATCCTCGTCCAAACCGGCTTCCATCGCCTCTTGCACATCCTCTTGACCCGCTGGACGCCTTTGTGTCGCAGTGGTTACAGACCGTTGGATCGTCTGAACGCCAGCGCAACTGTCGTTCTGCCTCCTCACGCAGTCCACTACGAGACGAGGAACAGACCAAGCTTGTCGAAGAAAAGGCGACGGCCTACGACAAGGTCAAGGACACACCAAAGAGGCCACGTTCTGCACCACCAGACCTAAGTCGAAAGGATGCCGACGGTTATACGATCCCGCAGATCCCAGAGTCATGGGCCCATTCGACCGACCGTTCACGCAAAGGCCCAGGGTCTGTCTACACCGGCGATTCTTCGTTGCCGTCCGGGCCGCGCATCCGTGTTGACGATGCAGACTACCGGGACGTGCTGGAGCACAACAACATCCACTTCCGCGACGACTGGGAACCCTTGCCCGACCATGTCGAGACGCTCGTGGCGCGGATGCGCAAGAAGCGCGACTCGCCCGGTCCCACCGAAGACGAGGTGCTCCGCGACCGAGATCGGCAGACGCTGGTGCGCGGCACCGGCGAACCCCGGGTGGCGGCGTACTACACAAGGACCATGTTCCCCGTGGCGGGCGCGGCCGATGTCCTGCAGGCGAGCGCGCGCATGCCCATGAACCGCCGGGTGGTCCCCTTTGCGGCCGACGGCCCGCGCGGCACGGATGCACTGGGTTTGCGTGCGCCGCGGTACTGCACGCCCACGCCCGATCTGCTGTATGGGTACAACAGCGCCAATGCCTTCCCCGACGAGGACCACCGAACGCATCTGTTTTACACGGACCACGAGGTGCGGGCCACCAACGAGCCCGACACGCTCGTGTATCCCTTCCTTGTCGTTGAGTTTAAAGGCGTGGATGGCAACATGCTCGTGGCCGACAACCAATGTCTGGGCGGCACGGCCACCTGCATCAGCCTGGCCGAGACGCTTAATCGCCAGCTGCGCGCCTTCAGCCGCGACGCGCAGGTCATCCACGCCGTGGAAAGCTCGGCGTTCAGCATCGCCATGAACGGCGCCGACGCCCGATTGTACGTGTCGTGGACGCACGGCGACCGCGTCTACTACACGCAGACGGTCCAAGTCTTCCACATGGGCCGGCCCGACCATTACCTCGACTTCCGTCGCATGGTCCGCAACATCATCGACTGGGGCCGCAACGACCGTCTCAGGGCCGTCCGACAGTCGCTGGATGCCATTCTGGAGGAGACCCGGAAGCGGTACGCAAGCGAATCCAAGGCTTGGCAGCGCTCACCAGACTCGGCAGGGAGCCCCTCGGGCAGGGTCACGGGCAGGGTCACGGGCAAGGATCAGCGGCAAGAGACATAGGGCTTGGTGAGGTGGCGACGATTTAAGGTGTTTGTCTTCCTCTTTGCTTTTTCTTCTGTCTGTCATGGGATTCTCTCTCTCTCTCTCTTTATTTTTATTTTTATTTTATTTTTCCTGAAAAGAACCCCATCAAGCATCTGCTCCTGCAAAAGTAAATACAGCGTTTTTCTTCCAAAAGCCGTCCAGGCCTGACAGGGCGTGAATGATTCAACTCAACTCTGTTCACACGAGGAGATGAAGAGTCTTGTAAATAACATCACGTGACCGTATGTTGGTTGTGTGGGTCCCACCAGGCTGCCTGCCACACCTTTGCCAACAACCACAAGCAACAACACATCTCACGAAACTGGGAACCAACCAATTTAAGCGCCCGACGCATTCGCGGACGGCCCGCGACCAGTGTCTCGCGATAAGGACGTCTGCTTTGCGTCGTCCTCTCCTCGTTCACGACCTCTCCATGGTCGCTGCCTGGCAGACGGTCGCATTGCTGGCGACGTTCATGATTCCAGGGGCATAAAGGCTGCATATTTTGGCCAACACATCAAGTGCATCAAGTGCATCCATCACGAACGGCCACACAGCACCCAATCATCTCGACGCGCCGTCGTCATTGTACACGACCGCCTCGCTTGGCCTGTCTGGCCGAGGTTCTGGCCGAGTTCACGACGACCCAAGAAAAGGAGGCTGCGCGCTGGACGAGCGGCCCAAACAGCTGGCCAGCTCTCTTTTTCGTCTAGGCAGCGGCAGCTGCTCTTGCGTCGAGTGAACTGCTCAGCAAGCCCGATGTGAACATAAAAGGCCACCGTCTCTCCTGCCTCTCAACGTCTTTTCACGATGAACAGTCGCTCACAACATCTCCAGGGACAACATCCTGACGGAGACGGAGACCGCGACAGAGACCAGCCGTTGCAAAACGACAGTTTCACGCCCACACAAACACAGACAGCAGTTGGCAGCAAGACGTCGTCGCCCACAAAGCGAGCCTTTGCGTCTTCTGGTCTGGACGATAGCAACGACACGTCTGCACACAAAAAGGCCCGTCTGGCATCACAAGTCGACGAAGGCGAAGACAGTGCGCTCTTTGAGAAGGTAGGTGACAATAGCAGGTGGCAGGGGTTTTCTTCTTCTTCTTCTTCTTCTTCTTTGTAGAGCACATGACTAAATGGCCAGAACGTGCAAGACACGCCTCTCCAGCATCCCCGTCCAAGACGGCTTCCATCGCCTCTTGCACCTCTTGCGCCTCTTGCGCCTCTTGCACATCCCCTTGATCCACTTGACGCCTTTGTGTCACAGTGGTTGCAGACCGTTGGATCGTCTGAACGCAAGCGCAACTGCCGCTCCGACTCCTCACTCGACCATCTGCGAGAAGAGGAGCAGACCACGGTCAGGGTCAAAAGAGCACCAAAAAGGACACGGTCTGTACCACCAGCAATGGACCGAAAGGACGCCGACGGATTTGCGATTCCGCGGACGCCCCTGTCGCGGTCGCGCGCCAGCAGCGGCTCGTCGTTGCGTGGAAGACAGCCCGGAGCCGAATTGGGCTCCGAGTACACGCGTGACTCGTCGTCGTCGCCGTCTGGGCGTACCGCCGTGGAGCACCATACCTACCGCAGGGTGCTTGCTACCAACAACATCCACATGCGGCCCTACTGGGACCCTCTTCCTGAGCACGTGAACGCGCTCATGGCACGGGTGAAGCTGGAACGTGACTCGCCGGAGCCGACCAACGAAGACCTGCTGCGAGACCCAGATCGGTATGAGATGTTTGAAGGTACGGGGGAGGCGGCAGTGGAAAAGTACTACACAGACAATGTCCTACCGAGCGGCCACGGGTACGACGCGGTTAAGACGTGTATGCGTGTCCCTATGAGCCGACAGGTGGTGCCCAATGTGGGCGGGACCGCACCCAAGTTTTGTACTCCCGCACCGGACCTATTGTACGGATACGGCAGCGCGAACGCGTTCCCTGATGCGGGCCACCAAAGCCAGCTAGAAACGATGTCTGCGGAGGTGATTGCCAACAACGACATCAGCACCTACAATGCTCTTATCTTCCCGTTCTTTGTGGTGGAGTTCAAGGGCGTTGCGGGAAACATGTGGGTGGCGGGCAACCAGTGTCTCGCCGGTGCGGCCACCTGTGTGAGCATCGCCGAGAAACTCAACCGCCGGCTGTTTGAGTACGCCCAAGCCAAACTTGATAAGGGCACGGGCAAAGGCAAGGGCAAGAGCAAGGGCACGGGCGGCAGCAGCAAGTCCGACGGCGTGACGGCCGTCGCCAGTGTCGACAGCACGGCATTCAGCGTCGCCATGAACGGACAGGACGCGCGCCTCTACGTGTCGTGGAAGCAGGACGAGCTCAACTTCTACATGACCAACGTGGACTGCTACGCGCTGAGCCGCCCGGACGACTACAAGCGGTTCCGCCGCATGGTGCGCAACATTGTCGACTGGGGCCGCAGCGACCGGCTCAAGGCCATCCAGCGCGGGCTCGACCAGCTGCTCGAGGAGGCCCAGCAGCGCACGCCGGCTCCAGATACGGAGGCAGAGGCTGAGGCAGAGGCAGCAGCGATGGATCCGATGGCCATGTCGATGCCAGAGCCGATGCCTGAGTCGATGCCTGAGTCGATGCCTGAGTCGATGCCTGAGCCGACGCCAGAGCCCACACCGAGCGCGGGTTCCTCCAAGGCGTCCCGTCACCACTCGCCTCCGTCGGGCAAGGGCAGCAGCAGCGGCGGCGGTCGGAGCAAGAAGCCTCGGGCCTGACGAGGCGGTGGTGATGACACGTGTGTCATTTTTAATCATTTTGTTTTTGGAATTGTTTATGACTTCTACATTGTTGAACCATGGCCTCGTTGGATGACTGTTTGGACTTTGGACACTCTCTTGTATTGTTTATTCTTTACTAGTTTCTTGCATCATTTGACTTACTGTTTCTCCTTCGCTACCTGCTTCGCGAACGTGCAGGGCAGCTCTCGATTATGCGGCACACAGTTTTGTGACTAGCAGTTGTCTGCCGTCTTCTCTCGCTGTACTAATCGAATAGCAGGACAATCTCCCAGATTCATGACCCGAATGCCCATGGTCTGCCTGCATCGTGCATTGCAGCATGCGCGTCCGCGTCCGGCCAGTGACGACGTCTTTTATCCAAGTTGGGCCGCAATGAGCGAGAGAACGAGGAGGTTAGCAAATCCCTCCCCCACTGCATCGTCAGTCTTCGACCAGCGGCTTATTTTTGCGACCTCGGCCTGCCCTCCATCGGGACGACCAGATGCCGCCGATTCCGTTGAATGGCGGGGACTCCAGGGAACATAAAGTGCACTTGGTGATCTCAGTCTAGGCTCTGTATGGGAGATTGATTGTCAAGCAATAGGGAAATCAAAACAGACAAGCCAAGAGCCAAAACGGGTGTGACGGCTTTGCAGTGCATGCAAGTCGGTTTGTGTCCCCACGTCCATGAAGGACGCACAATCGAGCGGTTAACATGCTGAATGGGGAAATGGGGACGCCGGGTCAGTCTTCAGCCTGCAGCCATGCAATTCGAACCCGGGATGACCGTCCTAGGTGCATGCCTGGGGGGCTGGACGCACGTTTTGTCGACGTTGTTCCCGAAGAGTTCATTCCCACGTTTCCCACCCACCCCTCCTACGACTCCGCGCAGTCCTCATTCCCCAAAGGAACACAAACCGCCGCCCGATATTGCTTCCCCATTTGCACTGCAGCACAGAGGAAGAGAGCAAGAGAGCAAGAGAGCAAGAGAGCAAGAGAGCAAGACAAATGCCTCTTCCACGTGATTGTCTGTAAATTGACGACGGCCAATACGCTTATGCACGCACACACTCTGGACGGTGGCTGTAACCGGTCTTCCAGGCCGACTCATCCAGCTTCATTTGGAAGACGGCGATGTTTCCGGGGAGAGAGGGCCAGACAGACAGTCAGGAACGCAGAGGCAGACCAAAGACCCTTCATTTGTCCGTTGCAGGCCCTCGGTTGCCCTGTGTCGCCTCTCCGACGATGCACGCTCTTTTCGGCATACTCTCGACAATATTGTCCGCAGCGTGGGTTGCAACCCCTCTCCTGCATCCTGCAGGCAGAGTGTAGGAGCGTAGGAGTGTCTGCACTCGCGCTGACTGCTGTCGGTCTGCAAGTGAGGGTGGGGCAAAAGGCAAAAGGCAAAGGGCAAAGGGCAAAAGTGCACAGGAAGAGCCAAGGAGGTACTTGCAACGGTGACTTCTTAACGAGTTTGCAGAGAACCCGGACAAACGTCACGAGACGTGACGGGACCATGCAGACGAATAAAACAGGGGAAAAGAAGAACAAGCGGTCAAGTCGAGCCGATGGACGAGGCGGCGATGGGCGAGGGACTACCGACGACGTATCGGACCTTTTCTATTTTCATTTTTTATTTTCATTTTCTTTTATTATTTTTATCTTCCACCTAGACGAGGCGACTTCGGGCGTCTGCATCGCATGTGCGGGGCTCGCCTTGACAAATAAGCTCATTCAGTCATTCCCTCCGTATGAGACGGGCCTGGGCCAGCCTGGGATTCTGGGATTCTGTTGGGGACGAGGAAAACAGGCACATTTGCCCAGAGACAAACGGAGTGGTCTCGGGTCTCGCCCGTTCAGGATCACGAGTTCCGCGAGTTCAAAGTCGACTGTCAGGATGGAGGGCATGCCGGGGGACGAAGGAACAGAATGGCCCCGAGTTTCTCCCCCTGTCCAACGTGCATTAGCTGGCTGGAGAGAAGCGACAGAACAGCGAGGCAAGGCCGAGAATCGACACAGGGAAAAGGAAAATGAGGGGCCTCTCCTCGAGTTGGTGTGACAGACTGGAGGGGAAGTCGGAGTACGGAGTTTGTCGTGGAGAGAGAGCATTGCTGCGCCTCTGATTTGTCAGTTGGCCATGTAGTTGACTCTGACGTCGCCTTGCGGAGCCGTTGCAAGGTGTATTCGTTGCAGTCAACTTCGCACTCTCAAAAGGAGGCTTCTTCTACTTCACCGCTAGAATGGCCGGAGGCGGCAAAGAGGCTGGAAAGCGGCATGACTGGACGATGGGAGTCAGGGAGTCAGGGAGTCAGGGAGCACAGAGCACAGGAGCACAGGAGCACAGGACAACGACCAGAACCAGGCGGGCGGCTGTCTGGCGATGCTGAGAGGTTCAGAGGCTCAGAGGCTCAGAGGCCACAGTCACATCACATTGCTCAGGGTTCATACACCAGTGTGATTCACATAAAGTCTAGGCTTCTCCAGAGGCAAATACGTACTGCGTATTACTCTATAATTACGTAGATGCTGATGCTGGAGATGCTGTTGAGCTGAGTCGACAGGCAATTACATTATTTTATTTTATTTTTACACAGCGCTGCCTTGGCCTCCAGGCAGCGAGCAGCGTATTGGACAGTGCGCTCTCCCGAGAGACTGAGTTCGGCTCGTCTGGGTAGACACGGCTGTGCGTCCGTGTGATTTGTGATTCCTGTTTCTGTTCTTCGCACACACACCTCCATCTCGCAGAACGACGTCAACCTGTGGCGAAGAATGACGAGGCGTCGAGGACGTTGAGGCTGTCTCGTATAGTATTCGCCCGTCTGCGATGGACGTGAAGGATGGAGGATGAACCTGCTGCCATCACCCCTACAACATGTCATTCTTGTTTTGCTCACGTCTTGCAAATGTCTCTTGGACGAGAAACAAGAAACGATAGATACGACATCGGTCATTGCAAACACGACCGCATGGCAGGGTAAGCCTCACTGCTTGATCTTTGACACGACTGCGGCCAGGCCTTTTTCAGCTGGCGAGCGTCTGCTGCTGTTTTTGGCACACCCAAACCATGATGACAGGCGATCCTGTGGAGGAATGACAATGTACGAATTATTCCATGTAAGATAGAGAGCTGAGCCCACGCACAGGCCAGCCTGCAAGGGTGATCATGCTCTGACGGTACTGTAGCAACATCTGAGCACCTACAGCAGGGGCAGCCCTTGCACTGTCCCACGCTGCAGCAGAGCAGGCTGACAGGGCTGTGCTTATTGGGGGCCAACGGTCATATCTTACCATTCATACGCTGTCAACATCGTGACGAAGATACCGACACAAAACGGGAAGCTGCCAACTGCCTACCTTTTCTAGCTAGATCTGCCTGTAGGAGTGCCTGTTTGAGCGCCACAATACCCGTAGTTACGCACGAAGAGCATCTTCACCTTTTATGTCATCTGTTCAGGTACGACACAGCATGTCCCAGTGGAGATTGCAGCGGCGTGTTTCTTCCCTCCGTGTGTGCGAATGGCCTACTCGGACTGCTGTAAAGACGACACAAGGACGAAAAGGCCGAGGCTACGACGATGCAGACTCCATTCTGTTGCGTAAAGTTGAGCGGCAGGGGTGGCTGTGGTTTCTATTATATTTAATTTTTAGTGGGCAACACTACGTATGTACTGAGAAATCGACCCGGCCTGCCAGCAAGGACCACTGTTTTTTCTTCTTCTTTTTTTCTGCAGTGGCATTTGTGGACACTGGCGGGTGGATGCTCTACAAATATCAAAATTGTGGTTGGTTGGCTTGTTGACGTTGCCGCTTGTAGCGTATGTCTTTAATGAGGCGTACTATGTATGTCTTGGGGCGGCAGAGGGCTTGTCAAAGACGGATACGATGTCATGAAAGGCCCCAACTTGAAAGGAATGCTTGCTCAGCCGTCACAAACGACAACGGTTGCTTCCAATGTTCCCAATAATACGGAGTCATATGTCAGCCCAGCATAGCAGCACCAGCCCAGCACAACCTGCCCAGACGTTGCGATCCGGGCGTCTGGTGTGTGGTGTCTGGTGTCTGGTGTCTGGCCCACTCGAACCCTTCGATGGTGTGGGTGGAGAAGGAAGAAAAGAAGAAGGTTACGTGAATTTGATGTGAATTTGTGAATTTGGTGTGAATGTGATGCCACTGGCGTGAACCGGCGTCTTGTGAAAAAGGGGCTGGCCGTTGTGAAACGGTCGACCTAAAACGGAGGCGTCAGTCGTAAACGGAGACAAAACGGACCTAGCGTCCTGGTCGCCAAAACAACAACAAACCGGGGGGCGGGACAAGCGAGACACAATCACCAAAAGTGTGAAATCACAATCAGCCACCGTTCTGGCCTGACCAACGAGAAGCCAGAGACTGGGCCGCTCCAAAATGGAAATGAGCCGATGTGTCTGCTAATCAGCACGCAGGGTCTTTCGTCTTGACAGAACGCAGCACAACAAGGAGAGTCGACAAATGTAGTACGACGCATTACTACGTCGATCAGTCATGAAAGAGAGTCACGGACAGAAACAACAGGACAACCCAGTAGCACAATGACAAAACGAGGACAGAGCGGACTGTGCAAAGAAGATGCTGCAGCAGAACTGCAGCAGAACTGCAACAGAACTGCAACAGAACTGCAGCAGACCTCTACGGCAACGTTGCCGAGCCAGACAGATCCGAATTGCGTGTTGCTTGTTGTCTTTGTTTTTGGCGATGCCCTGAACGCGATGCCATGGCCAGTGTTTTGATATTGGCCTCCTGTATTGAAGGACGGTTCGTTTTGCACGGTTTGCACGTGGTCCTTCATTTGCATTTAAACGCGGCTTCGTCTTCTGGAATGAGTGGCCTCTGTCCCTCTTTATTGCCCATGTTTATGCAACGTGTGACGCGTCGTCTCTTCCACTCGCTTTGCACGGCAGAAGAGACACACTGACTCTATTCAGTAAAATGAGCATGGAATTTCGGTGGATGGATTTCCGGGG